TTCCTAGATGGCGGGAAATGAGCTTTCCCGACATTTGAAGTGTGTTTTAATGACTTCTATGTTGTTAAAAATTCTAATTTTCTTATTGTAACAACAACAAAAAATCAGCTCACAGGTCCTGAAAAGGTCTAGAATTCTTTTTCTTTTCCCCCTTTTTTTTGTTGCCCAAGGGAGGGGTCAGGACCCATGACCCCCTCCCCCAGATCCGCCAATGCGAATTGCAAGAAAATGTAACTCAGTCGGGTACTGGATAAACATTCTCTTTCCCATCCTTCTACTCCTTCTTTTCCTTTCTCCTTCATACTAAAATCTCCAGACATTATATATTTTTTGCCATAAAGTTGGGCCCCCCCCTCCCCCCCGGTTCCGCTGGCCATGATATATATAAGTAATGAAGTAGATTTTAATGTGATGTGGTTTGGAATATCCTGCTTTTATTCTGATCTCCTTTAACTAACAGTTCCCTGTAGATGGATCACAAATGGTGCTAAAATATTTGGTCATCGGACTCGGAAATGATGTTACTATTATATATGTTCAGATTTGTAAATACTTTTTAAGTAAATGCTTATCATTGTTATCCACAGTAATTTCTTTATTCTTTATTTATTTATTCACTTTTATTAATTAAAAAAATCACATTCATAAGAAACAAACAAAAATGCACAGTCACCAATCAAAAGTCAATAGCTATATAAATTGAATTAAAGATTAACGGTATTAAAACAGAATTACAATTAAAATTAGATGATAAAGGTATATGTTACAATTTTTTTAATTATTATTTTGTTACGTAAAAATATTGTCTTTATAAAAAAAAATTTTTTTAATTGATTTAAAAAATACAGCATTGAAATTATTTTAATAATATTGTTATTATTACTCCCATTATAATTAATTTGCCGATTTATTGCACTTGGGGGGAAAACCATCAAAATTTTCCTTCCTAATTTCAGTCACTGCCTCTGTAGATGTTATTTTGTATTTCCTTGATATACCAGACAGCCAACACAATAAGTTGTTATTTTTTCAGACCCTGCATTTTAATCTTCGACTCACTTAAAGGAACATCCAAGCGAACTGCTTGTATCAATAAACTCAAAGAGTAAGTAAGCTCCACTGGTACAATATAAATATAGAGTGTGAATAAGTATGAGTATATGTTAATATTAGGCTCTAAGTGCTGGGGAGGGAACAATAGCAGAAATTAACTTATTTAGTCAACCTAAACTCTGCCCAGATTATCAAAAATCTGTTGTATGCCCATATTTTGTCATGATGTGCCTATATATGGTATTGATGTGGTATCATCCTGACCATATTTAGGCAGGTCACATTTATTTTGGTCAAAATACAAGTTGACAGTGTGGACAGGCCTTTAAATAAGCTATTTAGTGTTTTAGTGACATTTTTCTGGGTGTTTCTGATTGTTATGTATATTATTAAGATTTAATAAAATCATAATATAACAATTTTTTATTTTATACAATGATGAAGTTAACACAGTGTTATTGATACAGAAAACTATATTAAATACCTGTAAAATTTCTTATAGATATATAAGTGTTGAATGGAAGATAAAGAAGGGATACAAAAGGGAATTTGAGTTGAAAGGTATGCAACCTGAGGTTCCACAACAAACCAATTACCATGACTGTGGCGTGTATGTTTTACAGTATGTTGAGTCATTCTTTACGGTAAGTTCATGTCTTCTTTAATCTCCTATACAGCGTGTTCTTCTAAGTCAGTCAGCCTATGTAGTTTTAATATAGGGTGAAAGAATATTTCATTAAGCACTGTATTGCAATATTAAAATGAAACAAAATAATCATAATAAAAATATTAACCTGCATATGTCTTTTCCATTATTGTTATTGTAGCATATCCTAAATTTATTTTAAATTAATAAAGTGTCTAGTGGTTCCATATTTGTTCATGTGCTTAATATTCACTTGTTATTGTAGATGCCCATTAAGAACTTCGGTGCCCCTCTAAGAGGCCTTTCACAGTGGTTCAATGAGGAGAGAGTCAGCTGTAAGAGGGAAGATATCAAAGCGCTCATTTCATATCTTGCACAATCTCAGAAGAGCAAAAGGTGACCAGAAGAGTAACCATGGGCCTAAAGAACAGATATCCTGCTAAAACACAGACTGATGTTGGCTAGGACTATTGGTGTTACACAAAACATTATGTTAAATAAACACTACAGAAACTAAATTGAACATTATGATGATTAAAGCAGAGTGTGTGTGTGTGGGGTGGGAGTATATGGTTGTGGGTGTAAACTACATACAGTAGTGTGTATGAAATTATTACACCTTAAGAGTTTTGTCCTGCAAAAATATTGGAATTAATGCCGCTGTATGTTGGTGGTAGGCCTGAATCCTAAGTAATTATCGTTGCTTTTATTGATAAATGTTGTCACAATAAGGATATTTACTTGTATTTTTGTGCTTTTTTTGTTTGACATAAATTCAGTTTAATGCATAACTCATTCTAACATTTACAGTTAAACTTGCTGAAGCTAAGCCTAACTTAAATAATTTCTAAAGTCGATCTTATTTTACATGCCAAATTGGTGTGTTTTCTATTAATTAATGATCTGTAAGTCAAATTTTATCTAAGTCAAACAATTTTTCAATGCAATTTTAGATTTGACTTAGGCAAGTTCAATTTATATCATGTTAGAAAGGGTGTGTTTGTGGGGAGGAGGTACTTTTTCTATTGCATGTGTGAAAATGCTTGTGGTGGGGGTAGAAGCTTATATTACTGGTGTATTATCCATAATTTCATAAGGTGCTAAATGTAGATTTTTTCTCTAAGGTTATTACTAAATTCATTATTTATTTTCCCCCTCCCCCATTTATTGAAGCAAAATGTGTGAAGAAAAGGGGTGCTTATGGCCACCACCCTCACCATAATACATGTCATGTATTTTTAGTACAATACCATTGAATACACAATGCAACATTTGTCTTGCAGTGACTTGCTCTGATTATTCTATAATGCTTTACATCACAGAGCATGATGGGAAGCTTGCATAACTAGGCTAGCTGCTGCATGATAGGAAGAAACACTAACTAGGCTCGCTGTTTCAGGGTTAGCTTTGTCCACCCAAATACCTGTAATTCGCTGATATATGGGTTGGTGTCATACCCGGCATATTATATAGTTTGGCCAAATCACATTTGTTTCCACATAAAACTCAATAATGTGTATAGAGTTTCACAGTGTATAAACTATATTGTAAAGGATGTGTCATTTTTTAAATATGATGTTCATGAAACGATTATTACATTGAAATAAGACACAGATGCAAATACACATATATTCATAATTTCTTATTTTAGTCTAATAATTTAACAATGTTTATTATTTATACAGTATCAAAGAGATACAGTGGAGTTTGTAAACATAGTGTATCTCCTTTCATTAGTTTATTCCCTACTATTAAAAGAAAGCAGTATATTTGAAAAAGTATTTAATACACTTCATATCTTGCTATTCTTGAAGAAAACTTGAGATTTTGTGTTAAAAGATTACTAGTTTGTTGCGCAAGCCCTTGAACTAGTCATCTTAGAGAAGCTAGCCTGCTTGCGCATGATGAACAAGTAATAAATTTGAAAGTTGAGTACAGTATATGCTTGTAGAATAGCAATATATGTCAGATGTACAGCATCCATCACAAAAAAATACCAAATTTCATATACTAGATAAGGCAAGACTATTTTAATACCTTGGACGAAACTTTTTTTTATTCCTTGTTTGGCGAACTTATGTTTTTTAAAGATCATCAGAGGAGAATGGAAACAAAATAAAAAAATTTTTTTCTTATTTAGCAAATGGTTTTGCCAAAAACATCTAGAGGGAGGAGAAAATAAAGATAACATTTTATTTTTTAATGTAAACTGTAAAATAATTGGATGGTTAAATGCTTTAAATTTATATAATTAGGAAGAAATATACATATCTTATTTTTGGAGATTTCAAGGCAGCGGAGGGCGTAATAAAAATAAAGAAAAATTAATTTTTTTCTTTAATTTCCTTTTTTATGGGCAGTGGGTGCACTAATTGGCCAAAATTATTTTATTTTTATTTGAAATCATCATTATTGGTTGGCGGTGGTTTTGCTAAACAAGGTATAAAAAAAGGGTTGCCTAAATAATGATAATAGTAATACGTAGATTTATGAAGCACAGATAATTAAGGTCCAGTGCTCAAATAGGAACATGTTATGTATATAAACGCCACTCTGGACAAAAATAAACTAAAAAGTACAATACAAGTAAAATAATATAATAATATTTATTTGAACATATCACTGTTAAATTGGTGGAACTCAATAATGATTGGGGCAAGATTACAATTAACATACAGATTAAAACTAAGAAATGGAATAAAATTGAGAACACAGCAGTAAACAATACAAATGAATTTAATACATATAATTAAGAAGAAGCAATTAAATACAATAAATAAATGGGTTTATAAATGAATGATACTTTAAGTCATAGAAATAGATGTTACTCAATAAAATAATACAGATCTTTATCTACTACAATCATTTCTGATTTCTGTCTTTATCAATTTATATTTTGAGGGGTAGATCACTCAACACGGGCATCTCGCGAAAGTAGGCAAGTCACACCGAGGGCGACCTTTCCCCATAGAAAAATTTCTCACAGTATGAACTGTGGAACCCGGCGTCACCCGGACTCGTTATTTTCCTTACTCATTAGTTTAAGGCATAACCCGTTGATGCCGCCAGATAGCCTATAATTGGCAATTTACTTTGCAATGACTTGGTGGCACATATTAAAATTTAATAAATTTTTACTTAATTTATATATTTATATACTAAAAGCATTAGTAAATATAATTATTTAAGTTTGTGAAGGTTGTATGGCATTATTATGCTTTATGTATAATAAAACTCAATCGAAATATATACAAATATTTAAATTTTTTATCATTAAACACAATGAATGTACGGAACGCGCGATTGGCATTGGTGTACCGTACCATGCCAGATTGTCAAAGCAGATGTATTTACCGATGTTCCTCCCCCTGTTAACTTATATCTGAATCGAACAATTCTCAGACCACCATTGATTGCTCATTGATTGCAACATTAATTCATGGAATTACTTCATATAAAATTTACCAAACGAATTTTATTTGGAATTACGAAAGAGAAATTGGGAAATGTTTCCTATAATTTGAAACAAATGCAATTACCCATAGTCCAACTGTTGAAATGGCAGGACTCAGTTCATGACAATCTTTTATCTGTATCAAAGTTAGTGGGGCGTTATCCTCCAGATAATTTTCTTTCCTCTCCCCACCCCCCTCCCCTGAGCTTTCCCGCAAAAAAAAAAGAAAAGCCATCGGGGAGCAAAAAATGTTTTAAACCTAAAGCCTTTGAAACCCCTAAATTGTCATATTTTTCGGGGGCTTTGCCCCCTGGACAACTTTCGAGACATTTTGAACGACCCGACCACACCCACCTTGGCCCACCCCAGCATACTGTTCCCCTACCCCCCTAAAATTTTAAAATTTTCAGACGCTGGCGCCACTACTGATCAAAGTAGGCTACACGTCATGTTATAGCCGGTCCTACAACAGGTGTTGGCCTGTCAGCTGTCCTGTTCATCATCAATGCATCATCATCATCCTCCTAATACAGTAGGCCTACTTATCATTTTCCTCACCATTATCAGCATCAGATTTCCTGACGCTGGGTCCGATGACCCCGACAGTGGTAGGGGTAGGGGGACGACGTACCCAACGCGAGCGTTAGTAGGCGTGTCAGGGTTGCTCAAAATCTCTTGGAAGTGTTCTTGGGGCGAAGTCCATAAAAAAATCAAAATTTATGGTTTCAGAGGCTTAATCGATTTTAGAGTCTACTAATATGTAAAAAATAGGCGGACATATATATTTTTTTTCTCCCAAATGAGTATTTTTTCTCTGTCCAAGCATCTGATTGGTTGAAAGTCTCAGAGAGGAGTGATCCTCTCAGGTTCGATGTTATTAAAAGCAAATTTGACACTAAAGAATTTGACTTCCAAGCAGTTCCAATTTTTTTTCCCAAATTTATTTTTAATTGGTTGACCAGTCAGCCTCATTATTCATGTATTGTTTTATAACAGAGAGCACACTCAATTCATTCAGCACAATAACCCATGTCTATTTTATGTCACATTTTATTATGTTTAAAAAAGAACATTGGTACAACTGATTGATTATATTTTATTGAATTACAGGAAGCCTCAATTCTTTATCTTAAAGAAAACATAATAAACAACATCTGCATTAATGACATTCACTAAAAAAGTATTTAGCAAATCAGCACAATCCTAAAAAAATTGCACACGGTAAATATAGTGCACCCTCCAATTGGAGACCCCCCCCCCCCCAAATCCAAGACCCCGCTAATTTAATTCCGAGACCACTTTTCAAAAGACCCAAATAACAATCTTCAACCTTTTTAACACAAAGCTAGCCCTCTAATTGGAGACCAAACCCCAAGACCACCCAAGGTTCCAAAGGTGGTTTTGTGTTGGAGGGTGGAGTTTAGAAAATACATCTTTAAAATTGTTCTCTCAATAAACAACATAAAGATAAATGGAATGGAAATGGTATTTCCACAATAATGTAAAGGAAGAACAATTAGTCTTAATACAAATTATTAATGACTGTATACATCAGTATTTCAGTATAATGTAGTACTGTACAGTCTTAAGTAAAGAATGGGGAAGACTCTATTATTTTGATAGAATTAGTAAGATCAGGAAATATATAAAAAGTATACTTTACTTCCTTTCCTTAGGATTCATCTATTATTATTCTTAAACTAATTAATTGTCACATCAAACTCTGTTTGCTTCATAACATCTTTCCAATACAAATCTATTAAAATATCTTTGGAAAACATTACATTTCATCAAATGCATTAATTATCAATATAAAAACCACTTCAGAAAATAAACTAATAAATTAAAGATATGTGCATTCATTCTATTCAAGTTACATTTTTGATACAATTATGATTCCCCATGTAACATTCATGATTTATTTATTTATATACTCTCTTAGGTTAGGTTAGATAGGGGTGGTCGTACAGTACTTGTATTTCATATTTTTCCAGAATGAATAAAATTATTTTGAATTTGAAATAGTAAGTATGAATGAATATAGCCTGGTTCTCACGAGAGCCCTAGTATCCGGATTGGGAGCTAACCGTTAGCACCCGCGTGAGAACACCCGATCAGTTAGTGCTAACCGTTAGCTGTATCCGGATACCGCTAACGGTTAGCAAGCGCTATCGGTTAGCAAGTGAGCACGTTTCTATCATCAACCAATCACACGTACGCGTTTACAATTTCCAGTTTCTTATTGGCTAGCACGGCAACTAACGGTTAGCAGGATCTGGATCCTGCTAACCGTTAGCTGCCGTGTGAGAACATAGCATCTATCTTTTTTTAAACTGATAAAATATTTTTATCTGGTTTCATAATTTGTTTAAACTGTCTCTAGTATCTTGAGCATTTTCAAAGTGAATATGTGCGCTATATAAATCCTATTTATTATTAGGCAACAACTTTCAAAGCAATGATGTCATATAGAGACATGGTGTCAAATCTGTTGTGCGTAGTGGTGACACCAGGATTTGCCTACCAGAGGGTCCTCTGTCCTTGACAGGGGGCCAAAGGCTGAATACAATTTAGGGACTTGACAGGCTTATTTGATCAATTTTATTAGTCTCACATTCGGAAAATTTACATAGAATTTATTTTCTCCCTGACGAATTGTATTTTCCTCCTAAGGGAGTAATGGACTTTCCTTGAAGCCTGCATTGGCGCCACCACCAGTTGTGCAGGGAAAGCAGGATGATTAAAATAGCTGAGTGTGTCATATGATCACTTTGTTTCAAAGCTCCTTATTACATGGTCAACAAATCCATGCTTCACAGATACAGTAATATGAATTGTTAATTTTTAATTCAAGAAGTGACAACAGTTTGATCCCTATAGGTCATATTCAAATTAGGGAGCTGCTGAATAACTTGTTCCTTGCGAGTGTTTGATCCCGCAAATGTATTGATCATCTGTGTTGATCTGCGTACAATACGACGCTGATGTACAGGCCCATAGCACATAGTTCGTCGCAGCTTTTTTTGCGTCTCACGAATGATTGTTCGAATATCAAGATTTGGCGAGCTTGCAGACTTTGTGGCCTCGTTGAATGGGAAAATCAAGTTGAAATCGCCAACCTTTGCAGACGGTTTCAATACGTTCTTAATTTTATGAGTTGTGTTATATTTGAAGTCCATCAAATCTGTTTTAGTATTTAGCATTACTTCTGGCTTACGCACACTTGCGTAAGGGCTGTTCTTTGATGTTTTTTGGAATGTACCAGAAGTCGTCTCTTGTTTAACATTACTTGTAGTTTTCAGCAATGACCCGGTACTATTTGAATTATGGATCTGCTTTGTTTTAATGCCCTTCTCCCCATTGCCTGATGATGCTTTTGCACAAGATTTTCTTGGTTGTTTTGGTGATTTACCTGCCCATGGCATTTTTCTAACAACAGAGCTCACATTTTTCCTGGTTCGTGCTTTTGCATCACCAGCTGTGGACTGCGAGTGGCTGTGCTGGGTCAAATTTCCATCTGTCAAATTCGAGCTGGATTGACACACTCGATGACCTGCCTTCTCAGTTATCAGCTGACCTGAATTAGTAAAATCATTGCTCTGTGAATTAGTTGAACTGTTCTCCGATGCATTAGATTCATTATGTGGCTGAACATTTGAACTTCCTTTCTCACACAGTGTCTTTAGCTTTGTGGAACGTAATGAATTTGTATGAGTTTGAGGCGACTGACTTGCTTTCATGTCAGACGTTTCTCTTTGTAGTTTTTCTTCACCATTTGATTCCTGACTCCTCCTTGGGGATTTTAATTGTGTTGTAGTACTACTCTTGGATGACATTTTACAATTTGTCATAGAAATGGAAGGTCGTTTGCACAGAGTTTGACATTTACGTGGGCTAAAGTTGCGCTGGATTTCGCTATTGTTTTGTTTAAGCTTAGTGTTGAACATTACATTCTCTCGTTCTCGTTCTGCATCGCTGAACGACAGCATATCGATGATGTCACTTAAGAGGGCGCACTTAACAATATGATCGGTTGAACAATCTAATCCAAGAGCTGGACTGAAGTTCACCTCTAGAAGCCACGGCTTAAGCGTGTTGTCAATAAGAATGTCAAAACCAAAGAGTTCAAAACAATTTGACACCTTTGGTACACTTGGTGCTTGAGCAAGCATTGTATATATGATGATATTTGAAATGCGTTGCCAGAGAACAGTACACTCAATATTTTGCTGATGGAAGTAGTTTCGCAGGGTTGCAAAGCTCCATTTACAGCCTGGGCCAATACGTTCTTTATCCATCATGTATGAAGGGCCAAGTTTATTAATACTGGTATTAGTAAGATGAGAGAACTGATTGTTGATGGATGACAAATCAAATTTTTCTGTACTGAAACGCACAATTCCTTCATCGTAGATATAAATCACAAGTGGATGGAAGCTTAACACCACCACATACACTCGCAGGTCAAATTTGTATCCACCAATGAGAAGCGGGTTTGATATATATCGTTGAACGACAGCTGAACAGTCATAAGCTAATTCTGACAGATCTTTGAACAAGAAGATACCACGGCCACGAGATAAATCTGCAGGTTTGCAAATCCAGTATTTTTCAGCATTGTTATCTGACTGTCGCAATTTGGAATACTCTGCGACAAATTTTGTATAATCATTGGGTAAAATAAAGCCGAGTGGGGTGAAGTTAAATACAGACGGACCATAAACACCTCTCATTCGCTTCATATTACGTGCAAGAGTGTCCTTCTTGGTGATCCCTGTTGTCTTCGGGAAATGGTTGAGCCGTTGCCAAGGATATATATCATGATAATCGGATAGACGGAAACGACTTGTCCTCCACCAAATGTTCCATTCATAATTTTTGTGTTTTTCCTCGTCAAACTCTTCCCATCCTTTGTCTAAAAAGATATTCTGAACAACTTCTGGTCCACATCCATTATCATTGAGACGGAAGATGAAAGGTTTAAGATTTGTTGGGCTAGCTGCTTTTAGACTCAGAGCAGACATCTTTGCCTCAGATGTTGGTCAACTAAATGTTACATTTTTGAGGTTCATTGTCTAAAAACAGAAGACTATTTACCCTGAAAGAAAAGAACTGAAAATTAGTAAAGAAAATTTCCCCCCTTCATAAATTTTTCAACATGACTTTAACAAATTACAAGTACGGTAAAAATAGCAAGAAATTTGAATAAAACCTGTGACTACAGGCCTGCCCATGGCATGGGGTTACTAATACTATTATATACTAGGCCTAGTACAGAGTGCGATAGACTAATGTAATTCAATTAAAGTAAAAAGAGGGCCAAAATTTGGGTAGGCCTAAATCTTTTGTTATACCTTTATTAATATTAACTATAATATTGAACCATGCCCCTAAACCCAGTAAATACTTGGCCTACTGAGCTTCAAAAGTTTGTGCATTTTGAAAAAAAAAGCTTTATTTAGGCACCACATGGCCTAGCTAGCCCTAGCTGGAATAGCCTGCTAGGCTAGACATACTAGGCTACTGTACTACTACTATTGTGGCCAAAGTAGGCCTAGTTAAGGCTAACCTACAGTACAGGAATAGCATAAATAGGCCCTAGGCCTATACCTCCCTAACGAGGCCTACCCTAGCCTCCTAGGCTAGCCTAGCTTTACCATGGGGCCTACCTTCCTACCTAGACTAGCCTGGCCCTAGCCTAGCTTTTCGACCGAGCGATTTTTTCTTTTCTTGCTGTTTTAACTAGTTTTATAGAAAGTGCATAAAAATGTTTCTGAATGCATTTAAAACAATATCTTACCTCATCGATTTTACAAAATATTATTAATTTTATCATGATTTGTTGTCCTTCTATCAGCTAAAGCTACAGATCAAAACAAACCACATTGTACATGAACTCGAAGTTGTCAAGGAGATGAATGTCTGAGGGCGCAGTGTAGCATCTAAGTTAATAAAATAAAACGTATTCGACTAGTCGTTCTTCGTTAAACCACGCCCACCTGCGCAGTGTTAAGATCAAAGGAAAGACGACCAGTTTTTCATTCATTAAGGTATTTATTGCACGATCATAAAACATTAAAATATATAACAGCAGTCAAACAAAGGAAAGACTGAAATTGTTATATATTTACAAGGGAATTAAAAAGAAAAAATTACTATACACAATTCATAATTAGGCCTACAATTCAAGATATACAATTCAAATTACAATTCCAAAATACAATTCAAAATTACTTATATAAAAAAAGGAAGTAAGAAAAAAAAATTATTCCTATTCATTTGTTTATTTTCAATTAAGCGAAACAGAGTATTTACGAAACTGTTCGAAATTATTCAGGTTAGCATATGTCTAGCAATATATACGTTAAGATTCGTAGTAACAATAATCAATTAACCAAAATGACATCAAAAAAGCACAAACAAACCACAAAATTCACAAATTCAGGACCAGACAACACTCAAAAAAAAAAAAAAAAAATGTTTTCATTATGTAAAACCCTATTCATTTGTTTATTTTCAATTATGCGAAACGGACCAGTCGAATAGAAAACTGATAAGTACTCGACAAAACAATAATCACCGCGATATAGTACGCTGCGTAATCAATGATGCTTCGAATTGTGGCAGTATGGGTTTTTCGTAAAAAAATTTTTCATCCAGTTTTTTTTTTTAATTCAATTTAGCCTACAATTATTTTTTGACTTCAATGTGGGTAAATAATGTAATTTTTATTTTTATTGTCTATTTTACGAACCAGTCGAATGAAAATAATACTCCAACGAAAATTCGTACTCAACCAAATGAATCAGTATTATTCTGCGTTAAGCTTATTGTTTAATTTAATATTTATATTTTTTTTGTACTTTTACACCTTAATTACGTTGGTTTATTTTAATCCTTTTCTCTTTAATTTTAAGATCGTTTTACATTTTGTTCATTTTATGTATATCTTATGGACGCACCACCTTGCTAGGTGTGTGCCACTGATCTGAAAGTGAGTGCCAATAAATACTGAAATACTGAAATACTGAATAAGCCTAATATGGTATCAAATTTCAATGGATTGGATTGGATTAGATATACTTTATTTGGTGTAAATACCAAACGCTCTATGCGGGAGGTGCCGCATTTACGGGGGTATTTTGAGGACTTTGTAGCACAAGTGTGGGAATTTATGGAAGAGTTTCAGCATGTATAAGGTATATTTGCGAGGACTTGGTAGCGCAAGTGTGGGAAATACCAGGTGAAATTGATAGAAGCAGTCCCTGCCCCGTCTCGTATCATCAAAAGCAGTATAATTTTTCACAAGATTTTAGCGAAGTTTTTGCTAAACTCCGTGCCAAACCTACACAGAGATCGCAAATCGCGAACATAACTGCGTCTTATTTATTATTATTATTAAACTATTGTTTTCCAAAAATATATGAATATATCTCTGATCAATTATACAAGAGAAAAAGAAAAACAGTTTCAATAAGTTGCACATACTTTATAAAACTAACTATAAATAAATAAATAACTTTCTATTGTATCACTTAAAAAATCTCAGGGTCCAACATTGCTTGTTTGCGGCAAGTTGCATAAGATTTTCAAGATCTTTTAAGTTTTTTAATTTTAGGCTATGATGACTTAAATCGTTTTGTAGTAGTGTCAAGAGATTTGATCTATGTCTACCAACTCGGCTACGAGCATGACATGTAAGTGAAGACTTAAGTGATTGAATGGCCGGTGAAAATTCAGTGGTTCTCAAGACGGGATCTATTTATTCGATTTGAAAGTGGTTCAGTATTAGTGATCTCGTATAGTGAAATATTGCTGATAATTTTTGGGTAGTGTATGTTTAAGATTTTCCTAAGGTGTTTGCGATGACATACGTCAATTTTTTCAAAACATTTGGGCGTTGTTGCCCAACTTGAACAATTATATAAAAGAATAGAAACAACAAGTGCATCATAAACTAATATTTTACGTTTTAAATATATGTTACTGTTTTTCCACGCTTTCCGGTACTTATCAAATGCAATGTTAGCAAAAATAATTCTTTTTTCAATGTTTTTGTCAGTGTTAATTATTGAACCAAGTAATTTGTGAGTTTTCCATTCAGTTTTCTCTCATCGTCTATTGAAAGGTAAGAAAATCGGTTTTCTCTTCGTTAACGAAAAGACGCAATTTTTAAAGTTCTTCAGTAATTATCGGTAAAGTACTTTTAAGTTCTTCAATGCTACACTCTTTTATTTTATCAAGGTCATCAGCATAAATAGTTTCGAGAGGTACTGTAAGTGATTGCAAGAGATTGGAGGATGAGGCTCGCTTAAAATAGAATGTAATTCAATTAATGCTCTTGCAAAATTGAGTGTGAACAGTTTGCCTGATAACTGTCTCCTTGAAAGGACCCGACTGCGTCGCCATCGGGAACCAGAGTAAATGGTAGTTCAAGTCCCTAATAATTTTCAGTAGAATAGGGCCTAGTCTAAGTGTCTCATGTCTTGGAGTGGCGGCTGAACACCCCCGTAAGATATGCAAGCTCCCCGGGGCTTAAACGTTTCATCCGAAACGGTGCGCTATTGTAACTTGTATTTCAGCCCTCCAGCTGAAACCAAGGGTGGCGCCCAGCCCCCCCCCCCTTGTCGGGGTGGGCTGGTCCGTCAGGGAGAAAAAGCACAATTCGTCTACTTATTAGTAGACTCTAAAATCGATTAAATAAGCCTCTGAAACCCGGAAATTGTCAAAATATACCTTCGAAATATTTGTGTGATTCACCGTACAGGTAATACTTCAACATGCCATAGTATAGTAGGCCTATGAATTATTTTAAGAGATTGAAAGAGATCCGTTCAAAATTCATTGATTTGTTAGATAGGCCTGACTTCCTAGTGCATTTAATAATTCCCTTATTAATAATGCTGAAATAGTTTATAGTTAGTCGGTCAGTCTATTTTATCTGACTGACGAGATAATCAATCAATCAATCAGTCAGTCAATCAAAATTTGCCATGTAACAACATCTATCAAATAACTGTTTTAATTAGTTTATTATCTTATCTAGGCTTTTTATTTTTATTTTTCTAAAGCAAGATTATATACCACCACTGGGTTGTCTGCTGGTGCATTGATATTCAAAGTAACATACAAGAATGAACTATTATTATTATTACTATTGAGATAACAACTACCGTACTGTATCTATCTAAAAACATGAAAAAATCCTGTTTTTTCCAATAACATAAGACATGCGGGCAAAGATGATAAACTACCAGTATTCATTTTTTGTATTGAGCCTTATAGAAAGTACTGAAGAGAAGAATACAAATATAAAAATAACATATTTATCAGAAAAAAATTTCATCAAAACGGTCAAAGTCGGTATGGGTATATGAAGGTCATAACTGAGACCACACTGAAATGAGGTAACCCAATACCATCGGACCGGTACTTAAACGTATCATTCACACTTGTATAAGTAGTAATATTTACAAATTGTCAAAGAATATCGGTGTTACATTACAATTATGATATAAAATAATAATTAATTTATGAATACGATACTAATCATATAATATAATATAATTTTATTATAGGAATTTAAATAATTAAAATCAGTAATAGGTAATGTGCCTAAACAGGTGTAAATAAAATCTACATAACGTATTTATGCAAATCAGGCAGACTGTTCAAACAGGAGTATGCCATTATGTGTTGCCACTCCCCCTGAGCACTTTTCAATTCTGTGGAAATGGGAAATCCCAGGCGTTGGCTTACTGCGTGTGTTTTATTCTCATTTTTTACATACAGCTACAAGGTCCAAATAGTTTGAATGAACAATATTGTAGAAAAGATACTGAAATAACTTACCATTGAAGAAATACAGGTAATTTGTTGCGTCTGTGTATATTATTAAGCTTTTAGTTTATAGCCTATGGTTTTCTGTTTCTAGGCCTAGCCAGTTTAGGCCCTAGCTAGTGACGTGCTTGAATGAAGTAAGCTTCTGGTCGCCGCTTTTAGGTCGCTACTGTGTATGTAAATTAGGCTTAGCTAGCCTATTCAGATTATATATTCATGCAGCCTATGCTATTATTAAGGCTGTAGTTTAATGTTTAGTCTGACACTAATCTAAGTAAGATTAAAAATGATGAAAACCATTTTTATAAAAAAATTTTCTTGAAGTTAAATCCGCTTAATAATAAACAGTGAACAGGCTCGACTAGGTAGGCCTACCTAGGCCCTAGTAGTACTAGTAGTAGGCCTAGGGCATAGGCCTAGGCTAGGCCTTTATAATATAAGAATCTCGGACCTGCCTGGTATAGACAATAAACAACAACTCCCTGGATGGTATAGTCTAGTCTTAGGCCTTTACTGAATGTGAACTGGCCTAGGTAGAGCTACAAAAAGCCACAGAGACCAACTGGCAACTGCTGCCCGCAAAAGATTTTGATCTGGCCCTCGCAACATTGCTAAAAAAATTAGTTCTTTTTCAGCAGTAGGCCTAGGCTAGGGCCTAGCGCTTAACCCTAGCCTACTTACTTTTATAGAATAAGTGTTTCTGTTAGTGTTAAATAGAAACATGACCACCAAATCTTGCTTGGCATTGTTAATAATACGAGTCTAGCTATGCATGGAATAGACCTTAGGGGTCTATAGTATAGAGTATTGACATAGGGAGTGGGACTGATGGAGAGAGGATAGGAGATTGTGCTGACAGGGTTCGGATGCGTCTGTTTTGTCTCTAACTTGTCTTTTTTGTACTGCAAACTTGACTTTCTCTTCAAGCTTACTTACCATTATATCTCGCCATTCTGCCAAGAAGAAGATTACAGAGAACCATGGTTGTTTAATGGATTTTAAACCATTTGACAGCTTACACAATATTGTGTTTTCAGTCGGACTAAAAAAAATATAATAATAGGCCCACGCCAAACCACAACCGTTATGACAGCGTAAAATCAGTGATAAACGGACTCCACTGGCAGAGTCTTGAGAAAAGGCGACAAGTAGGTAGCCTCAGTCTCCTTTTCAAAATTTAATAGTTATCTGTTCATCGACATCTCTACAGAATTGCTTACTCAAATGAAACCATCTGCAACCAGACAATATCACCCACGTAAGTTCCAACCGTTGCCATGGCGGATTGCTCTATACCGCCACTCATTCTTTCCACACACAATTGGCTGGTGGAATAACTTCTCTGGCGGAGCCTTCACTGAACAATCTTCCCTGGAGTTCGAGGTCCCTCCCAGAACACATTTAATGGAGAAGTCATGTTTTACTCGCACTAAAGTTAATTTTTCCTGCACATGTTTTTGTTTCTTTCTCTATGTCCCGTCTGTTTCCCGTGTCATGCACACTTAAGCATTTTTATTCCTCGATGTCAATTCCCAACCGAGAGACCCTTTCGTGTACTAGACGTAAATGTAAACGTAAACAGGGAATAAACATTAACTGGGGATGCTGATATATGATGTGATGTCTAACCACTGGCAGTGCCAGCGGTAGATCTTGGGAGCAGGCTCGGGGGAATGTCATTCTGTTGAAAACACTGCTTTGAAAATGTATTGTACACCCTGAAAGTGCCATTTTTTAAAAATTTCTTAACAAAATTTCTTTACAAAACAATTGCCTATCATATCAGAGTTGATGTTTAGAACCAATGGGTCTGTTGGAAGACTTGAAGGCCTATAACAAATTGGGTGGGGCAGACATTAAAAAAAATTGGAAGTATACTATTTATTTTGGCCGAATACTTAGACTACTCCGGTCGATGGGTTGACATAAAATATATATTCTGAGATTATTGAATGATGTGGTATACTGTAGGCCTACACAAAAAACTGTTAATTCAAAAGCAAAGCCAGCATACTATTAAGCTGAATGTTTCAGTTTAAATTCTTTTAATTATACTGATATATTACCATAAAGTAATTATACTGTACTTTCACTCTAAATTCATTGCAACTTCCTGAATATGGGCGAGTTGAATGGCCAATAAAGTAGTGCTGGTTGTAACAGCGCACCGCCTATGGTTCTGGTGGTTGTACACTTCTTCTCGGATAAGGCCATGTACCCTTATCCGAGTAAAAATCAACCACAAATTTAAAAATAACAAAGAATGTAAAAACAATGTACCCGCAAAAGACATTCAGTTCTTTTATAAGTCCTTGTTTTTGTTTTCTTTTTGTTAAAATATGGCAGCGTAAAAACAATTTACACAAGAGACAACATTCAAATCGTAAGCAGATAATTAGGATCTTTCAATATCTCAGGAAACCCTCACAAACAAACACACCCATACATCCAATAATAACTTATCTTATAATGAGTTTTTATATATGCAGTTGACATGTTACATTTGAGGTAAGAATGAAAATTTTTACATTTGTAGGCAAAATGTTTTTGCATTTGTGGTTATTTTTACATATTGTGGTTGACAAGTCCCCCTACAGTTCAAATTAATGAATCCGACACTTTTTTGTATATTAATATACAAAAACCGAATGGCTGAGTGGTTAAAGCAGGGGCACCGCAACTTACAGCCATATTGGCGCTGGTTCTGATGGCACGCTCGCCTATGGTTCCAGAGGTGGAACAAGTCTTCTTGGATAAGGACATACGCGCTGATATTCATGAAATAGCGTTATTATAAATGATATTATGCAGTAGTATTAGGACCCGTATATACTAGTGTTCAGTATTTTCTGCATACATAGACTCCTGTTTTTCCAAATTTCAAAAAATTCTAGTTAGTCAATTGAATTATATATAGCCATTATTAAACAATATACAGCCGATGACACGGATACTTGGTTAGTATAGTACGTCTATTTCAACTTATTTAAGTAGTGACACTACAAGTTTACGAACTCAATCTCGCTATGACGTCATGATTGTAACTGCAGTCATATCAACAGGCTTATCATTTCTCTACCCTGGACTATTGATAGATTTTATTACCAAACTTACTCTGAGTGTAAGGAAAAGCGATTAACTGCCATCGTAACCTTTAGCACTTATATGGTAATGAGAGCCCATAAGGCCAGATTTAGAGACCACAAGGTGATAAGAATATAGATATATCATATCATATAGATATAGAGAAACTATTGAAGAGAACACATAGAGAAACCCTTGAAGAGAACAGATATAGAGAAACTATTTAGTATCAGTTAACATCATATAAAATCAGAGAAGAAAACTTAAGGTATCCAACCCGCAATGAGGTATGATTTAACTTTAATAATCCCATATTTTACTTTGTCTATTATATTGTATAGGCTATTATAGTATTGAGATGGCTTCTTTACAGTAGACCCAGGGACACTATAACAACTCCCTGAGTAGACCTATGTTATATATGCTTAGTTTAAAACGCTTAAATATAAATGTTTAGGAAACTATATTACTGTTGTTCATTTTATAGTTTTTACGGTGTCAAGGAGAAATAAAGATACACCCATTACAAAGGACTATTGCTTTATGTGGATGCCTGTAGTTATAATGATAATAATAAATTAAGTAGATCCCCTTTTTGTTTGTGAAATAAAAATGCAAGCTAATGTTTTGTGTGTGCTTCCTATCTCCCTAGTAAGTTAGATGGTAGTATTTCCACTCACAATAGCATGTTGCAATACTACTTGCCCAAAAGTGCAATTCAAAAAGAGGAGAAAAATAGTATTGTACTGTACAGTGCATGCAAAGAGACTAGATTAGGGTCACTGTTTTATGTTTATTTTATTTGCTTTTCATGCATACATCAGAAGCCTATGAGTCGATAATATTTTTATGAAGGTTAGCACAAAATATGTGGGCCTATGGTTATGATTACCCGGATAAATTGAAACACTTTTTATGATGATTAATTTTCAGTGGAAGATTTTCAAAGTTTAAAAAAAAAGTGGAGAAAAAGAGAAATTATATTTAAATTTAAGTCTGAGAGTGCCATAATCATAAATTTCTTACCTCAGCCCCAACCATGTTGGGCTGTGATGGTCTACAACCTACAGTACATCTGTGAAACACCTTTCCTGGGGCCCCACTATTTCAAATTCCTGAACCCGCCACTGTATTTTGAAAATGTAGTGTGGAAATAAATGTTAATTGCATTTCTTAAAATCAATTAGATAAGACTTACAGAAGTCTAGAACGCTTCTCAAGACTTCCTTATTTTGCCATCCCCCCCACCACTTTCAACCACTGATCGACACGCTTGAACATTATTATGAATTATTTTAGCGTTATATTTTCAGTTGTTTTATAAGTCAATCACCTTGTTATCTCATAACCATTATGCCTTTCTAGGCCATGCCTATACGACAGTCTAGGATTTATTCGCTTTAACCAGTGCCATAGAGTGAGATTGTTAGGTTCACTGAGTGCATTCATAATAATAATAATAATAATAATAAGCTAAGCGGGAAAAAGAAATGAAATGACTTAAAATAAACAAATCAAACAATTGTTTAAACACAAAAATATCTAAACTAGACTTAAGTCTTAAACTTAATTACACTAAACAAACTCGAACAAAACAAAAACACTATAGTTTATGTAAGAAAATCCCACATGAGCTGTGACATTCATCAGAATTTTCTCCATTTACTTTAGTTATATGAACATGGTTTTGTAAGGTAGTTATAGAACTATTTAATAACACTTTCATGAAAATTGAAATATTAAAGTTTATTGATTAGAATGTTATGGTTTTCATAGCTTGGCCTAGCAATGAAATTCCATCACAGTTTAAACTGTAGTAAAATCACCCCAGCTTTCAGTAGCAGATTCAAGGGGTGTCTAGCTGGCCCGGGCCCCCCTAGATTTTGCCAAATTATATAAAAAAAATGGGGAAAATATATAATTATCAAATTTACGTTGGAAAGTGTGAGGTTTCATAATCATAAGTCCACAAAACAACATGATTTGTGGTCCCTTTATCTGTGAAAATCCCTCTCTGTGCCCCCTCTATTTTGAATCATTGGATCCGCCAGAGTGGCTTTGAGCTTTTTGCACACAAGACGCAAAAAGCTCATATATTCTAGAGGATTAGATAACCAATTTCACAGATTTCTGAGGAGGAAATTTGACAAATATAAGGCCAAAAAAATTAAATTGTTTGTTTGCCTCCTCCACCAGCCCCTAACTCACTGAAAAAAATAGGGGCGGAAAAAAAAAAAAAAAACTTAAAAGGTTACTTTTTAGCTTTTTTCTTTACAAATTAAAAAAAAAAGTGAGTGAATTTATCTTTACTTTTTGCCAGATGCCCTACAAATTAGTCTAAAATTGTTGTCTGATGTAAGATATTGCCATTCTAGGCATCTGTGGGATATTTTTATTCCATCTGATGAAAAAAATAAGTAAATAAAAAACGAAACTTTTTTCACCCGCCCCTATTTATCATTTTTGAAAAAAGAAGGGTAAACAAACAATTTATTTTATTTGGCCTAATGCTGTATAAATTTGAAAAAAATTACATTTACAACATTACATTATTACATTTACTGTACATGGATTACCAACTTAGGATCTAAAATAGCAAACATAGAAATGAAAAAAAGACCAACCAATTTTTGCTGCGAAGCACCCAATTCATATTCTTGACAGCAATTTGACCTCTGAAAGGTCATTGTTTGTCAAAAAACAAGTGCCTAAGACAACTGAAAAGCGGAGTTTCCTTCTTTTGTTCTGCCGGGTAAAATCAATTACTTTAGGCGACGTTTGTAGACTAACCTACTTGTACCAACGTCCTCATGTCGCGCTAGCCTTATCCTACTCTATGCCTAGACTAGCTAGGATGGTATAGGCCTAGCCTTGAAGGGGCGAAGGTCCCAATGAAAAACAACGTCGCTCTTTGATAGCTAACATTATTTAACATCACAATAATTCATTATTAGACCTATAGTTGTTTTTTGAATCGTACTCCACAAATCTCAGCCGATACCTCGCACAACTCGCTAACGTCTCTATCTATTGTCGTGACGTCATGGCTCGCTGGCTCACACTTGTGATATGTCTAGCACTTGTGAACAAATAACACGCTGGCTCGCACTTTGGCAACACTCGCCCCTAGAAAACCCGCCCTTGGAAACTTTCCCCATAAAAAAATGTACACTTCCTAGACCATACAGTCTTCAAAATAAAAATTGTAAACTTTGGTAATCCACTACATTTTCCACATACATAGAAATTTTTGAAACTTTATTTAAAAAAACCTAAACCATAATTCACCACTATAGACACTTTTTGACAAATATGAAAAATTACGACTTTGTTACCCAATGAGAAGTGTTCTAATATAGACAATGGGTCATTTCTCATATTATTTGTTATATTTTTAGTATTCATTATTTTCACTTGACTCGCATAAGTAATTTTGTTCGAAGAACATTAGTATGCAGTTGTACTTAGCAGCACTTCACTTGCAATAATAATAATAATTTTAAGTTTTAATAACCACAGTGTTTGTTGAACTTTTTTACCAAACTTAACAAAAGTTTTTTGTGAAAATTTGATGTGTTGCGCAAATATGGGCGTACATTTGACGCATGATTGTAAGCAAACTAGAATAAATATAGGGTCAATCCTTTGGTTCAGATGCATGTATAAAACAGATACTTATTTCAATTTTCAGATAAAAGGAAAGGAGAAAAGACATCCAACATGGCTGCATGTTCTGAAGGCATGGGGAGCTCCCCATCCTCATTGGAGGATTCTGACAGCATAGCAAACACTTTAGATGAAACATTCCTGCAGTGCCCAATCCATTTGGAACGCTTCATAAATCCTAAAATGCTGCCTTGTCTTCACTCGGTTTGTTACGATTGCTTGGAACAATGGGTTGAGAAGAAGGATGGAATTCTTGAGTGCCCGGAATGCCGCAAAGAGCACCCCATCCCAAATGATGGCCTCAAAGGTTTACCGGATAACTTCCATGTGAATAATCTCATTGAGTTCCTTCAGAAGGTCGGCGGTAAAAGTCGGGGAAATGTTGAAGGAGAAAGTGCAACTCATACTTGTGGTCTTTGTAAGAAGAGTGATGAGGTAATGTACATGTACTGTAGCTGAAAGTTTTCTATTTTAAATTCATTTTACCTTATTTATGTTTTCACACAAATCGTTATTTAAATTAATTTTGTTGACAGGTCATAGAATTACACATTAAAAGGCACATCGTAATGTAAAGCATTGCGATTGCACTTTTAGTGATGCAGCAGTGGATTACACATGCAAACACACACAACACACATGCACAAAAGACGAAGTATTGTCAAAAAAAATAAGTCAAATTAACAGATAGTGTGAGAGAAAAATACAAACTTAAAAATATGGATAATAGAACCATAATTTAATTGTAATGACAGCAAAAGATCAAAATATTTTAGGCAGTGTGGGAGGAAATAAAAATAATCACTTTTTTTCCCCTTTTCATTAAAATCAGATTTTTGTTTATAGCCTAACTCAAATAATTTCTATGTCAATCTTATTTTACGTGCCAAATTGTTGTGTTTTCAGTTAGTTAATCAAATTTTATCTAAGTCAAACAATTTTGCATTGCCATTTTGGATTTGACGTAGGCAAATTAAACTGTATTTCGAAAATCATTGAACATAATTATATCAAATTTGAAAAGTGAAACTTCAAACTGATGATGAGATTTCCAGGATAACCTATTTAAGCTATTTTTATTGGGTCTTATACCCTAATGATTGCTTACTGTGTGAATCCACATGTGGTAATGTGCATTAGTGGAAAAATGTATTAATTTTTGGTGGTTTTTTTGTTTTGTTTTTTAACCTTTCTTAGGTAGAACTGTGGTGTATTGACTGTGCTTTTTACTTGTGTACCACCTGTATACCAATCCACAATACAATGGCCGGTGACCATGATACCCTTCCTATTGAAGAATTTGACAAACTCAGCGACTCTCAGAAGATTCATCTGAAGCCAGTGTACTGTAACAAGCACCCAAAATTTAAAGTGGAATATTTCTGCAAAACCTGTGAATTGCCTGTTTGCCAAAAGTGCACCATTGTGCAACACAAGGCTCCAGATCACAACCTGGAAGAGATAGAGGATACGTACAACAAGATGTCCCAAGCTCTTAAAGAGCAGATTACCAAGGCAAACAAAAAGAAAGATTCAGCCAATAGAGCACTAGATACAATGCAGCATGTACAGGAAGAACTCCAAGAGCAACATATTCAGGCATTGGAGGATGCAGAGAACCATGTGGAGTCCCTCAAAGCAATGTTAGACATGAACATGACCATCATGCGGATGGAAATTGAACAAGACTACCAGAAGAAGGAAGCGGTACTTGAAGAGTGGCGGAGTAAAATCAAATTTTTTTCAAAAGAAATTACAGAGGGAGTTTATTTTGCTGAGAATTTACTAAAGTTTGGTAACTTTATGACTGTTACTACCACCTCCAAGCAAGCATCAGTGTGTTTGAAGTCATTGATCACTGAACACATACCAAAGCAAGCCAAGTATGATTTCAAAGTACAGTTCTTTCCAAATGAAGAATTTTTTGATCAAATAAAAGAGGCGAGTCTTGGAAGTGTTGAGAAACAAAACACATTATTAGAGAAAGCTAAGGATGCAACCTGTCCAAGGAATAAAAAGAAAGGCAGTAAAGATGCAGGTGTACATGAAGAGCAGGCTGGAGGAGACGATCAGGAAAATTTGGACCCAGATTCTGAAGACGGTGATAAGTCTAAATCCGGGGAACCATCAAATGGTGCAAAGAATAAGCGTAAACCAAAGACTAGAGGAAAGAAGAAGAAAAAGCCATCCGTTGCAGATGTTCCAGATGATGGTGTTGAAGAGGTTTCTGATGCTGAGTCTACAACTTCTGATGTCAGTTTCATATCAGATGCCTCAGGTTTGACTTCTTATTCCAAGTCATTCATAATAAATGCCAATCCTAAAAAACCATGTATAATCAGTAAAGAAATCCATCTCAGACTGTTGATGAAAAATGAAAACAATCAACCCGTAAAAGATAGTGCTCGTAACAGGACGATACTGGTTGAGATAGAACGGCCAAGTAGCGGCGGAAAGCGGGAAGTTATAAATGTTCGAGACAGAGGGAGTGACCAGTGTCATATAAAGTTTACGCCATCTGATATTGGCACTCATAAAGTGTTTGTCAGGATCAATGGGGAAACCATTAAACGTTATCCATTTAGCTTGAATGTTTCTACAGGGATGAAAAGCACTTCATCAGATTCCATGATATCTGGTGCTAAAGCTCCTTCCAGCCCTTTAAGAAAGAAACATGGCCATCCAGCTCCTGTCCCTCTCCTCTCTATTCCACTTTTGCCATCTTCAATTGCCGTAGATGCTAAGCTCAGAGAACCTTTGGACGTGGCTGTACTTGGTGATGGACGCTTGGTTATAACCAATCGCTCCAGCAGAAGAGTTGCTGTGTTAGACAGTAAAGGAGATTTCTCACATAATGTGTCTGTGCCCCAAAGTGATGAAAGCCCCTTCAATCCAACTGGAATCACAGCAGACCCAACTAGCAGTAATGGTTTCTATGTTACGGATGCAGAGAAACGCAAATTCTATCACCTTGATGCAGACAACAACCTGAAAGGGAATTTCTTTTCATCTGATCTGCAAACTCCAATGGGGATAACAACCCATAAAAGTAGGATTTATATCGTTGATCACAAGGGTGTAAATGTGAAGGTATTCTCTACCTTAGGCTGGCTTCTCAACATAATTGGCAGGGCCCCTCACAACATCTTCAAACAACCTTGGTTTGTAGCAGCCAATAGCAGAGGTTATCTAATCATTTGTGATTCTGGTGAGAGCAATGTAAAGATTGTGAATGAGATGAGTCAGGTCCTGCATGTTTTTCCGGTCATGAACAAAGGGAGACCTACTGGGTTCCCCACTGGAGTTGCAGTTGCACCTAATGATAATATTATCATTAGTAGCACTCCCAAAGATGGACCACCAATGATCTTTGAGTACAGTCCTGTGGGAAAGTTTATAAGGTCAATAAATTTCTCTGGCGACAAACTCAAGCTTCCTCGTGGAATGGCTATTGCGAGACGTGGCAACCGGACCATTCTCTATGTGGTAGATATGCATGGAAACTGTGTACGTCAGGCAGAATTGTAAAACAGATAAATATTGTTCATATTATAATAAATCCTCTAAATGTAAAATTGTTATTGCTAAATCAGCTTAAGTAAAAGCAGCGGATTCAATTGCATTATTGGTGTCAATTTAAATAATTGATTATTAAACTTTCAGTAATTGGATATTTCTAGTCCAAAATAAAGAAGTTGTTACAATAAGTTTTGGAGATAATAATAGTAATAGTTTAGGCTGTTTTTGCCCAAATCAAAATCAAAATCAAAATCAAATTTATTTCACTTGTAACATAGATTACATACACAATTCAATCAAGTAAATGTAACAAAAAAAAAAGCAAGCAAGGGTTGCTGAGTGGGCATAAGCCCATATAAAAAACTCCCCTATACAGGTTAATTTAATTAATAGAAGATAAGCAGTAAAACTACACGAAACAATTAAACTATATAGAAACTTAAAGACTTAGATGTTGAATTAATTAAATAACTTTAAAATATAACAGAACATAAATGAATTGCCAACAAAAATTCACTTTATATGTGAATACTTATACTTAGGCCTAATTAACAAAATTATATAATAAATAAATAAATAAATAAAGATAAATAGACAAATGAATAAAAAAAAATAAAAATAAATAAAATATAAATTTAAATAAAATATAAATTAATTATAAAAATTTCACTTTATATACAGGATGTGAAAGTCAGCTTACTTAGGCCTAGTAACAATGACGATAATAAATTAAATTGAAAATAACTAAAGTCTATACAAAATCAAGGTAAATACAACAAAAGCCTGTGGAATATATTTAGGAGTTACAGTTATTTAATTAAAATGATATTATCTAAAGGCAAATCTAAAATCTAAAGGTCCACTGTATGGTTGTAGGTCCTTTCATTGTTATCTGCTCTTTTCATTACCTGCTTTTGCTTTGTTATCATTACCATTGTTATTTTGTGGATATTTAAATAGTAATGAACAGTGTCTTAATGGATAATTCTACTATCTGATATGATTATTTGACATATGGCACAATGGATGTGGTTAATTAAGTTTCACGTCAGGCTTTGAATCACATACTGTATGCTTGGAAAGAGAGCTTTCTTCTCATTTTCTAGGAGTGTAAAATAGCTGCCTAGTAGAATGTTGTAACCTTGAATGTAATGGTCTGCAATCCACTGACTACATCACTAGGAATCCTCCCCAGGGAACTAAGGTAGTTGTAACCTTGCTTCCCAATGGATGTAGTGGTTTGTATGCAATGACAGAATCCACTGCTATATCAGTAGGAATTCTTCCCATGGAATTGAGGTTGTTGTAACCTTGCTTCCCAATGGAGTTAAGGATGTAGTTGTCTGTATGCAATGATATTATTCACTGCCATATCACTAGGAATATGCCCCAGGGAACTGAGGATTTTGCAACCTTGAATGTAATGGTCTGTATTCAATTCATTGCTCACAATGGATATTTCCCAGGGAGAAGTATGCAATGGTCTGTATGCGATGATGCAATTCATTGCTACATCTCTATTAATACTCCCCAGAGGACTGTGTATGTTGCTTGTTGTGCATGATATTTGCTTGGTATGGACCAATATCAACAGGTACAGTAATAACATTGTAACTAAGATTTAAAAAAAAAATGAAAACTATGAGAACACAGCATTATTAATAATACAGTGTTTACCGGTGAGTAAGTTGGGAGGCTACTTCAGAAAATGTGTATCTTTCGTAGCACATCTTATTGTAGTTTTCTGTCTTGTGATTCCCATGGCAGTTTCATGGTAGTAAAACTTTTTGTGCAAGAGGTTCAGTTTGTTGGAAATTCTTGTGCAGGAGATGGCCGATGTCCAAGAGACTTATGCCACTCATAGTAGACTTGAGGCCCCAGTTATACATGGACCTAATTGTTGTAGTTTTAGTTGAAATCAATAAGGAATTTTTAGAATACTACTGTAACAAAAAACAGACTGCCTCCCTATAACACAAACTGTACAGGTTGTTGACAACCAAGCTTCTTACAGTAAAACACTGGTACACAATTTCTTGCTCTTTTGCATCCACATACATTGCATAATAGGAGGTGTTTTTTGTGATGATTTTGTGTATTGTGGCAATGCATGTCCTTTTAACAAAGGACTCTAATTGTGTTATGTACAGATAGTGTCAAATCTGTGTTAAATCAAAGCTGAAATGCTGTAAACTTTTTCTCTGTAAAATTATTTATATTTTTGTGATATATGATAGTGTGCAAAATCAGTAATTACTGTATTAATAATGTAAAGCATATACATTTCCACAATAAGATTGCCCTCCCTCACTGTACAGAGTGGTTGAACTGTAGTGTTTCAATCTTTCTCCTTTCCTGTACAGAGTGATTGGACCAGATGTAGCGTTCCAATCTCTCTACCTTGAGGTCAGGGTTTACCTGACTCAGGTGCGGATCCAGTGGGGGAGGGGGGTGGCCATGAGGGCCTGTGCCTCCTGTCGGTCAAGCCGAAAGATAAAAAAAGATGGAGAAAAATTTGAGTTAAAGAGAGGAAAAGGGAGTGAACCCATGAGTTGAGTGGCGATCCAGCATTGGGAGAAAGGAGAGCTCGATTGTTTACCACTTGCATACCACAGACATAAAAAGACGTAATTGTGTCTAGCAAAATACAGAATACCGTTATTTATGATTGGTGTTCTTGGACATTCCAAACGCAAATATGTTGCATTTTAAATTTGTCCTGTGAGACAGTGGGTTGACTTGGAGTTGGTGGAGGGGTATGCTCTTGCACCAATAAATACTAGAAAAAAATGAGGGAAAAATGTTAGGCCTACATAGAAGAGTATAACAGAATTGCAAATAGTTCCCTCTCCCGAAACCCTTCTACAGCGCTTGACCCACATCAATTTAATGTTGATTATGCAATGAACCTGGCATTTGTTGCAAATCAAGTTGTACTAGTTGTATTGCCTGAAAGTTAGTATTTGCACTCATTTTTGCATTCAATTTTAAAAAGATGTTTGGTTTCAAAGTTGAAAACATTATTATTGTCTATTGCCATACACAAGGTACTGTAGTGTACATACATCTATCCTTGACAAAAGACGAGAAACACAGTATACATAGCATCCCAGTATGCGTAGCATTCCAGTATGCGTAGCATTCCAGTAGTGGTTATGTTATGCTGTGGTGTGACTATAGTTCTACCGAGTGGAATATTCTGAAAGTTCGGCCACTCTCAGAGTTGGTTTCTTTCAAGGTTGTAACAAATTTAGTTTACTTCTAAAAATTCCATTTTGTGTTTCATTTTGTATTTAGCCCCAGTCTAATCTGGGTAATCAAAATACGGGTGGTAGTACCTCATAGCCCAGACTGGACGATGATACAACTGTATCCCCAGTCTACTCTCGATAATCTAAATACTGGTCGAGTGAGCCTACATAACAGTAGACCAGGTGGCTTATAATATTGACTTGCTTCACTTATTTATATGCTCGTCTGGACCAATTACAGCAGAGGCATATCTAGAGTATTTACATAAAGTACTGATGAAGGAGGGAAACGATGGAAATTGAGTATAATTGTTTTGCTCGGCATATTTCCAGGAGGGGGTGCAAACTCTTTGGAGGCTTTTCCCCCTACACCCATCCTTAAATACGCGCTGCTGTAATTGAGTATACCAATTGTATCATTATTGGTCAGAACAATGACTTTATCATATATAAAAGTATATGATTAAATGTATTACTTCATCAAGTGGAGTTGTAGCTAGTTGGTGGCTAAGATGCTTGCTGTCCATGTCAAGCATACTGGGTTCAACCCTATCAAACAGCAGCAATATTTCTTGCAACAAAAAATAGCAATGCACTCCTTAAACCTTGTAATTAAACAGCCTTGCCACTGAACGTGAAAGAAATATTCAAGTATTTAATTCATCAAATTCGCATTCAAGTTTATGCTACATTGATGTTTACATTAAGAAGTACAGTATTGTTTGTTATTCCAACTTACTTATTGTGTTTTTTTCACAAAGATGGACTTTCTTATGTCAAAGCACCGAGTTTATTCTGTTGTAGAAAATAATACTATCATCATCCTGAGAGTTCTCATTTAATGACTGGATTTGGTTAGATATTCACTCTGATCTCCAGCTGTTTTGCATCCTTCTCTCACCCAAGATACATGAACACATGTGGAACAAATCCCAAATTTGATTTTGTCTTTCATTAGCCTGTTCTTTAGCAGCTGAAAATAATATTATGTTTTGCAATATTAAAAGAATTTGATTTTATGTGTACAGTAGTCTGTAATGCTAACCATTATTACAATAGAAAAAAAACCATTTGAATTTAAATATTATTGTAAGGCTATGTCCACACTATCACATTCTGTGACAAAAATATGGGGACATCACACAAATTTGTCACATAAAATATGATAGTGTAAACAGACCTTAAAGAGGAGGAAAATATTTTCTTTTAGAAATGTAAACTCTTTTGGTGTTAAAATGTTTAAAAAAATTATTAGAAACATCAAAATACTAAGAATAAAAGATGTACTGACTGTGTTAAAAAAAACTTGCCGAATTATTAACAGTATTGGAAAAAAATATTCTAAACAGAAATATGAGTTGTTAAAATGAATAAATGTTTAAATCATATGGTATTTGATGTTGATTAACCTAATTAAAAGAAATAATTGTGAAACCTCTGCTGCAATGACTCCAATAAACTTGTAAATGTTGAAAAAAATTGCCTCTAGTACTTTAATTTGTTTACAGTGTTGTTAAATGGTCAATAAAGTTGATTATAAATCCTATATAGTACACGAATGATGTTACAAATGCACGGCGTGAACATAGAAAACTGGAACGCAGGTGGAGGAAAACTTGAACTATTTCTGATCGGGACAAGTATTGTGAACAGAATATTAAGGTTAATAAGCTAATAAGAAACTGCAAGACTAGTTTCTTCAAAAAAACTAATGCTACATCAAAGAATATGTACAGTATTCTTTACTCTCTTTTAAACATCAAGAAACATCTTCAAGATAACAAACTTAATGAAACTTACCAGTCTGCATATAAATCATCACATAGCACAGAAACTGCCCTTATACATGCTAAAAATGATATTTTAATTCAACTTGATAAAGGAAAATCAATGTGTTAGTTCTGCTTGATCTTTCCTCTGCATTCGATAGGCCCAGACCATGACATCCTTGTCAATCGAATGAGGAGGGAATTTGGTATTACAGGCTCTGCCTTAAATTGGTTTACTAGTTACCATCAGGACTGTTTTAGTAGAGTTTGTGTACTCGGCAAATACTCTGAAAACCATGTTTTACGTTACAGGGTACCTCAAGGGTCTGTTGTAGGTCGGCATGTGCCCAAACTGTTGCAGATATCAGGCGTTTTGCGGTAGCTTATATATATGCAGATGATATACAATTATATGTTAGATTTGAACTCTAGGTCAGAGAATGATATATCTGCTGCTAAGTATAAACTTGCAAAATGTATTTCTGATGGTTAGTAACAAGTTAAAACTTAACAGCTCGAAAATGGAGCTTTTCTTTAATTCAGCTAATACTTCTGCGGCCACACTTATTCGGGAGTTGCATTGGTTACCTGTCCAGCAGAGAATTGAGTATAAGAACTTGGTGCATGTGTACAATTGCCTGCACAACTCAGCTCCTGTCTATCTGAGTGACCTTATTTCTAAGTATTACTCGGGTAGACAAGGGCTTCAATCCACCTAAGACCATACTCATCTCGCCATTCCAAAAACAAAACGATCTTTTGGAGATAAGTCATTTTCTGTTCTGGGGCCAAGACTATGTAACAATTTAGTAAATAGTGTTCGCAAGGCTTCTAATGTGCAATTTTTAAAAAAACTTAAGACGCACCTTTTTTCTCCTAATCCATAATGTTTTGTCTTATTTCCTATGTGCTTCAATTGTATGATAATGTATATTTATAAAAAAAATCTATTTTTGTACATCACTTGGAAAAGTGTTCTTTAAATCCATATAATAATAGAATAATGTTTGTCATGAAAGAATATTACATACTCCAAGAAATTAAATAAATGCCATCATGCTAGGATTCAGTATTTCATCGTCATCAAGAATAACAATTTATCCATTTTGTATGCTGTCATTACCAAAAGTATTATTTTGTATTCAATAGACTGTGCTGTATGTCAATTTTACAACATGTAGTGCCATTCCATCTTTTGTGAGGCTCCCCTACACTTGTGAAGCTATTCCATTAATAAATAACTAACATATGTTGATTGTTCCTATGAGATATGATTCCATAGTTGACACATTCCATATGGCATGACAGTGATGACATACCAAATGACATGTTCCCACACAATAATACTGTATGTCATAAAGCATTGAAATCCAGTAAATATTAAAATGGAAGTGCCCTGTTATGTTCCTTGTTTTGGTCATATGAATGTAGAGAAGACATTAATATTCTTTAACTTCAGAAATTGTGTATATAAAGCAATACAAAATTGTGTTTTAATCAGTTATGGGGACGTGTGGTTCACTAGGACCTTAGTGGATTGTCCCTACCCCTTGATACTACATAGTTTAATCAGGGTGGTTTACATAGGTCACTAGCCCAAAAATGTATGCCTACTGTATTATTTGTGGTGTTGTAGCTTGTGCAGTAACAAAATTGAATGGCACATAAATAGTACATGGTAATAATAACTAATAATTTCCAGTTGTTGTAGATGTTAATGAGGCGCTATGTGCTCTCGCATGACTGAGTGTTGGATGTTCACATCAATTAACAAAAATTATCCAGAGTTTTCAAGTTCTACAAAGCTTCTGTTGCTGCTAAAGTTTTGCGATTACTACTTGCATATGGAAATAGAGGAAAATACTACAAAAATATATCATTAGACCCATATACTGTATTTATAGGCCTACATATCAGGATTGAATGGACTTTGCTAGGGTTGATTCAGGACACCTCGATTTTGTAGATTATTGATGATGATTGATTTGTTGGCATTGACAGCTATTATTACACTACACCTGTTTGCACAAGATAATTCATGCTACATTTCATTTACAACTCAAAAATGTTATCAAGTTGAGAAAAAACAAACAAATCTGAGTAAACAATATCATGGTGTCCTTCAACTGAGTTTAATCAAAACAAGACTTACTAAATCTATGGAAAAAGTACAGTATATTAAAGGTTTCAACACACATTCATTTGATCCCACCTGAGTCACTCGCAAATTTGTTAGCAAGATTTTGGGGATGTACTGAGTATTTGGTACGATAACACATCGGGGTAGGGCAAAGCATCACTCCTACGATATTTTCCTGATGGAAACTCGCATCGAAATGTCATTTGCAGTACCAGCTGCTACTTGGGGATCGGATTCAACACTAGTCACTAAGCGCGAGATCGGTAGCCTAGTGGTTATGGCGCCAGGCTACTTATCTGGAGGGCGTGGGTTCAAATCCTGAGTATTCAGTACAATAACACGTCAGGTTAGGGCAAAACATCACACTTTGATATTTCCTAATGCAAACTTGCATCAAAATGTTGTAACCAAACTGTATAGTTGATTAACACAATATAATAAGTAATGCAAATTGACTAATAAGAACATCTTACTGTCACTAGGGACAAACAGTATATGTGGATTAAATACACTTAGCATGATGAAACCTCACTAACATAACAATACCACTTTAAAATCACTTCCTAGAATTATCCAAAACAAATTTCAGATTTAAAATACCAATTTCATATTCTAATAAACATTTCTTTCGATAAAAACATGTTTTTCCTTTGATTCACACTGAAAACACTAGCCTTACTGGGATTAGACATGTTTGAACACCATGTACATTGATTATTATTATTTCCACAAACATACAAGCCAATACATAGAGAGAATAGAGGATACAAATGTACAATTAAAGGGTGGGCGGGGAGGAGGAACTGCAGATAAAAATAAAAATACTAATAATTGTGTACAATTCCTAAATATTGTTCAATAAATTAAAAATGCATGTTTTTTCATCAACAACAATATACTGTCATACATAATTATAATACTGAAAACCAATTGGAGCTTCCAAATTATTTATTGCTTTTATGAAGTCTACTTTTAGCGTAACATTCACTGTGGAACATCAATTTCACGTGTGTGTCTACATTTAATAATTTTCAATGTATATACTTTACACTATGCTGTGGAGACAGTTCAGGGTTCAGTTCCCCTAAGTCTGTCCAAGACAAAAGCTGTTAAAACTTGTTCATTAATCTAAACACCTAGCAACACAGTGCATTCATAACTGATCAATACTGCTTTTGTTGTACATATTAAAATAATCTTATTGCACACAGCTGCTAAAATAAACTAAATATATGTCTAAGGCTACGTTCACATCAAGCCCGGATTCCAGAGAAAAAATCATGAAAAATGGGTTCAGTGGTAAAGAATAGGACCGTTCACATCAAATTCGTATGATTTTCAGTCCGGACTCCGGATCTGTATCGATGGATCTGTGAGCCATTTGTATCCTGAAATCGCACGTTTTTTTTCCTTGGTTCAATCAGCAACAAGCTTGGTTGGTTCAAACCAATCGAACGCATACGTACTTAACCCGAACAACCGTGTTCCGTGCGCGATGTGAACGCAGAGTTAAAAAAACTCATGATTTTTTGTCCGGGCTTGATGTGAACGTAGCATATATTTATAATTGAAAAAGGAACTATCAGATTGATCTTACCCCCAGTGTAGCTAGCAGTCTTGAAATGGGTAGGGCTGATTGGGTGGGTGACGATGGTGAAGTGGAGGGGGTCGATGATTGAGTAATAATGGGCACTAGCTAGCAAAATAAGGTGATATGAGGTCATTTTTGTGCTTCAAATACTTTCAATGGGGAAAGCGACTGGGTGGTAGGGGAGCAACTTGAGGCAGACAAGTTCTTTTAGGGGAAGAGAGTGCGCAGCCAGCACATCCTCTAGATACGCTATTGCTTATCCCTCGAGTGATATGATATTGATGACTAACTGTATTGTTTCTATATTGGAGCAATCATACAGTCCAAGATATTCCTACTGCAGTCTCTGTCATTTTACAATCATATTTCTTTTTTCTATGTACACATGAGAATGTTTATGTACACTATGTATGTGGGATATTCAGAGTGTTTTTGCTAGGTCATTTTTAACAGTGGAATGGGATGATTACATTTTGGTAATTTTGTATGACAGTTTTTGAGTACTTGGATCTAATTTGCCAATTATCTTTAATGCTATTTTTTACCCTGAGAGATGGGTGCAAGATCAATGAACTTGTATGACTTTGAAGATAACATTCTAGTAGAGGTAAGCTTTGTTTACTAAGTAATCAATATCTGTTTGTATATATAGATATATTACAAGGGTAAAAGTCGTCATGTTCTTTAAGGTCACCATCCCTGACCTTCTAATTCTAGTAATCTGAGATTATAAATCAGGAAATAGATAGGCATGAAGTTCATTCATGGTTTAGAAGTTGATGAACACCAAATCCCTGTTTATTTTTGCCTTAAAACTACAATGTCTGAGCTTAATACTTAGTAAAATAAGTACATTATATTGTCCTCTTATTATTAACCACACCATAATGAGGAATGGTTGTACTTAATATTTTTTACTAATTCTTCAGAAGCCTCTTTTTGATTAGTCCTGCTTATTTGTTTAGCTTGAAGGTTGCATTTGCGATTGAGTGGCATCGCCATTGGAAATAGTAGATCCGTATGTTGAGCCTTTTGATGTAACAGTCTCTGATATCATTCTTTTGCATAGTAAGTACGCTGTTATTGGTGGATACGGGAAAAAAAAAACAAGAAAATAATCATTAGTGGATATAATGTATACATTATTCAAGTCAATGGCATACGCCATATTGGCAGATAATAAATTTAGAAATTTTTGTAGTAAAATACCTGCAAATCAGTAAAAACATATAATTATGTGTTGTAGTTCCACATTTAAAGTGAAATTAAGGGGTGTGTTTATTTGAGTACATACGTATCAATTTCACACAAAAAAAATTACATAAATGCCTACAGTACCTCGAATAAACGCCACCCTCTTAAAACCCTTCTCAACACTAAACGTTCAATATTCAAATTTGTAATTGTATTTTTGAGGTTTTCAGGATTTTATGACATCAGTATAATCTTTAATCTGGGTGAAGACAAATGAAGACCTTACCTAAATAAGTCCCAACAGTAAGTGCTAAGTACGTATAGATAGTCCCTGTGTAAAGTAAGTATATCATGTAGAAAGCAAACGGAGTAAACAGAAGCGTTGACCAGAATATGAAGACCAAGACCGGGCCATTGTTTACACTTAACTTGGTTCCTACGTACTTGCCCTGGTAGCCCTCCAGCGTATCATGTTTATGAAAATAATCAACTGCATCATCCTTTAGTAAATAAAGAATTTTTATAAGAATAATTAGATAAAAATGTATATATTGAATGTAATATCTTATTGATTTGATATTGTCAACCTTACAAATTTAGAGTCTTCTTTACCTTTTCCTGATACAATTTGTGACAAAATGCTGCACTTTCCTCATCAGTATCTGTTGGAATATTGTCAGCCGCTATCCTCCTGTAAAACATTCCAAATTAATAGCTGAGACTTTTTAAAAAAACAATAAATGCAACACTATTTCTCAAGTGATGTAATATAAAAAAATCACAAAGTCAGTCACCTTGTTAAGACATGAAATTTCATCTTCTTAGCTGAAACAACTTGCATAAAAGTAGGTTCATCTTTACAACACAATGTTACATCATACATAGCAGGAACTGTCAAACAGAAAAATAATTAATGTACAAAATTAACATAAAATACCAGTCACAAATAAACTTAAATTCATTGCATCCTCAAGGTCGCTGTTCTTTTCACTTGTCCAAGATGGAATAGCATCTAATTCAGAGAGAGTATCACACTCTTGTCTGTTCACGCAACAGAAACTGGGGATAAAGCTTATTCCCATATGAGCCTTTTCCTGAAAGGATTTACCCACTTTTAATAAAGTCTCTAGCATCTGGTAGATACATTTTATGTATTTAGAGCACTTATGTTGAATTAGTATTAGAATTGTACACATTCAAGTCATCTACCATGTGCTACTGTATATCAAGTGGAATATTCATGCTTTTTTTGTGTAAACTGATTGTAATTCTGTAAAATGTTTTACATGTTTGTTCTTGAGAACAAGACTTTACATAATACCTGTAAGAAAAATGGTGGAAAAGTGTAAACATTATTATTATTATTTATTATAATTTATACTGGAGAGTGTATTTATAAATAATATCCACAGATGGTTAGTTCCCATAACATATGATTGATTCCTGCTTCAGTTGAAATCAACAACAAAAAAAATAAAATGAATAAATGGAATGACATGAGTACAAAGAACTCCACTCCTTCCCTAGACCTCATAAAGAGACAGTTTATACAGCATCATCAATCCTGCAATTTGCGAGTTACTCTTGCTGTTAGGATGTGAAGGAATTAATTTAAAAAAAACATAGGAAAATTTGTAGACATTAAAAGAAAGTACAATAGACATCGGTGGAAGAACTAAATCACATAATCATTAATGTTATAGTTTACTAATGATTGAGTTAATGAATGAGTTAATGAATAAATGTGAAAATAGGATATATATATATATCTACATACATGCCAAATTTAAGAGAAGTGATGGCTTGAGATTTTCCCACGGAAGGAACTCCAATAAGCGAGGGTCATGGGCCCGCCTAGGCCCCGGAAAATTCTGTTGCCTAAAGATGCTCTCTGGTGTAATGAGTCAAATTTAAACATCGCAACGATTTCTTCCGGTTTTTCTCAGTTAAATTAGTACCTGACAATAATACTGTACATATGTGTGGGCCTGGCCTTAATATAATAATATAAGATTATATATCAATACTTTTGTTTGCGATGGGACGCATGAAAAGCGGGAGAAATATATGTGGCTGGTTGGAGGGCTTGAGATGGGGTCAAAAAGATGGAATCTTCCACCAGATGGGGAAGACTTGGTAGGTATGTATCTATAAACTTACCAACACCCTTCATTGCTTGTGTGATAACAGAAAATCCTTTGGTACGAGGTAATAAATGGTATTTCAGTTCTTTTAGACCTTTTTCCTTGGCAACTTCATTTGCTTTCACTTGTTTTTCTCTCGTAAAACGTGTTCCCTCACAAAAAAGTAACATCTATGAAGAAAATAATAATTCAACCCCTTCAAGCTCTTACATGCACCACTTAAAAAAAGATAAGCACAATAATATAAAATTACAAGATAAATGGTGGTTTATATCATTGCAAGACAAACAATACATAATGTAGTATATTTATAATTACTGTATCTATGTTTTATATGTAATATATTTATTGATGTTTTAAATTTAGTGCTGGTTAAAGCATGGACCTTCAACCACCAGTTGTTTTGCATATATCCCCTTGTTTCTTGTTTATTTTCTTACGTTATGCTTTTTTAAGACAGTATAATACATACTCCAAGTATCGAAATGCACGCCATCATGTCGGGATTCAATATTTCAACATTAATTATGTCATCATCATGAATCATCAGGAATTCCTGATGATGACGTAATTAATGTTGAAATATTGAATCCCGACACGATGGTGTGCATTTCGATACTTGGAGTATATATTATACTATCTTACCTGAGATTAATCAGTGGACCTTTCGGTTTATGCTTTTCTCTTACTGTTAACACTCTGCCCGGCAAACACGGAGATCTCTGTGTTTGAGGGTTTTTTTTACAGATTCCGATAGATGGTGTAATTACTGACATGTACTAACAATTTGAACACTATAATATTCAGTCTGGACTGTAGGTATTTCACTATTTGCTTACATTGAGTATAGCCGTATTGATGCACTTTCATGAAATCGGGATTATCTCAGCTTCGTTATGCGAAATTGCGTAAATCTCAATTTCATGCTTAAATGGAAGTATTCGGTAACATATTTTAGCACTGACCATTTATCTACTTAGTATTCTAATAAATTGAATTACACCATTTATTCAGAACAAGTCTGGCTCTGTATCTGAACTGTCTTGGCTAAATTTGAAGTAGATATCAGCAGGTATTTTTAGAATTGATTATTTATACTTAGGCCAGCGAACTACGACTGAACACTATCTGGATCCATCCCTGTGATATGCGATTGATTTAGCTGGATAATTATTAACCCAGTGTGTTACTATTTTCCATTGTTGTTTGATACATAGAGGCAGTTATATATCAAATTATTCTTTATTATGTGCAAATTTTATCTCAAAATGGTGCATTTTTGAAAATCCAAAGAAATTTAGTATCTTATATTCTACTTACCCATGATTTTACTGGATAATCTTTTAATATACTAATCCCATCAACCAAAGCCTTTCGATCCTTCAGGAAATTTCTTTTCAGGAATACCATTTCAATTAAAGAGAAACCCCAACCAACAATAGGAATGTACTTCAGTTCCTCTTTCACAAATGATTTGGATGACTAAAAGAAAGACAAATAAGTTGTTGAATGGATGGATGGATGTATTTATTCGGTGTAAACACCAAGGTTAACCTGCTAAAGTCTAAAGAAGACTTATTTCCAATGGGGTCATCTGGTGTTGATTGGGCAGTACACCGGGAAACAATCCCCTGCTCTTTTCTGAATAGTGTACTGCGTTCTTTAACGTGAAAAAAAAATCACAATTCTAGTCTAAAAATAAAAATAAATTGCTAAATTTGTATGAATTTTTAGTTTTCAACTGAAAATTACAAGAAACATTTATCTTCATAAATTAACGGAACTTAAATAATGCCATCCTTTGATCTATATTTGATTACAGTAGGTACTCAGCAATGTAAATTAACTTGTGATCAATATAGTGATTTTTATAGTAAAAAATTATCTGTTTTATCTGTTAATACTGTACAATGTTTTAAATGAATTTTGGGGGTTTTCTTTCTCCCCAGATTTCACCACAAAATATGTGTTGTTATAATAATAATAATGTTACATTTATATAGCGCACAATGCCAGAGCTTCTATGTACTTTACTAAAACAGAAAAGTTATGAGGCTAGATAGAGTGAGATTTCCTTTTGTTATTTGGGGTTTAAAGAATGGTAACATAAGATCCAAGCCACAAGCAACTTACCCCTAGTATACCAAACTTCTCACACGCTGACCATGTCACTAAGAAATCAACATCAAAACGATGATTCATAACAATAAGGGCGTGCTCTGTAGATAACATTTCAATGAAGTTTTTTTCATGGTAAAATATAATCTCTGCTTTTGCCCAATGATCAAAAAAGAACACCATTTCTGAAAATAGAATAGGTCATTGTTTTAGTTCACTGTTTATTCCTACATGTAAACTCATATTCCAAATACTACATATAGGCTATGTTTTCACACAGCTGCTAATGGTTAGCAGGATCCGGATCCTGCTTACCATTAGCTACAGTGCGTCCATACAAAAAAATCCCGATTCGGATACCAAAAATATGATGATCGCTTGCTAACCGTTAGCGGTATCCGGATACTGCTTAGGTTAGTGCTAACCGATCGGGCGTTCTCACGCAGGTGCTAATGGTTAGCGCTAAGGGTTAGCTTTGGGTCAGTCTTGTGCTTCGGTTTACACATAGAGGGTTAGCTTAGTGTTAATAGATTGAAGATTGTTATTTAGTTCTTTGAAAAAGTGGTCTAGAATTACAGGGGTTTTGGAATTAGTCAAATTGGATGGTGCACTGTATAACAATAACATTTATTTTGTATTGTAATACCAACTCCCTGGTAATATAAACTTCTAAATGATTTCACAACTCTACTGTATTACCTTTAGCTCCTTGTTCTCAGATAGGAAGGTCACCTTGTGAAAGGAAGGTCACCTTGTGAAAGCAATGTCACATGACCAGCCCATGACTCATCAAATGTCTGAACTTAACTTTTTTTAGAGCACATTTAGGACAGTCATTTGTAAATGATTTACTCAAAAACACAATGTAAATGGTATAATTTTGCAACATTCAATACATTGTGCAATATACTGTAGGGAAATCAATGGCAGAATGTTCAATGTATTTAAAAAGGTATAAAACTAAGGGTGCAATGAATTTTATACTAGTCTATAGTAGGTTTAACAATAATTCTCATTAATTTATTAAATGGTGATAGCGCGTCAAAAAAATTATTATAACTGCAGGCTAAACATCAGGTTAAACCTGAGATTTCTTCATTGAAACATGTACAAAATGTTAATAAACAAACATATATTGATTACGATAATAAGAAATGGTGTTAAATAAATTTTAGAGATTGGGAATACTTACGAACCCAGTGCTGGTAAGCGAAAAAGCATACACATCGTCTGTATAGACTTTTACTTATTGGCCAGAGAATTAAACAGCAGGCTTGTAGCAGATTTATGATGATACCACTGACAATAAAAGTGTAGGCACCTATCAGTGGTAGAACGTAGGTTTTTCCGATTAGAGATAGTAACATTGTGTTATGTTGAATTCCAATTGAACCTAATTCCGAGTAAATCTCTTAATAAATTCGTAGTTGACAATAAGATAACTGTTGAGTCACTCAGGCTTCCTTGATTTTGTTGTAAATCTGAAATAAGAAAAGAAAACAAAACAAACTAGTTGATCTAAACTGTATGATCCATGACACATCTCACAAACGGCTTTAAAGATGGTGCACTTTTTCATACTTGCATTTCAGCCCTCCAGCTGTAACACAATTAAGGAGAGCAAGGATTTTCACGGCTCAGCGCTGGTTCAAAGTGGCATGCTGGTGGTGGAACAAGTTTTCTTGGATAAATAAGGACTATCATAGGCCCAGTGTACAAAATTGGATCAGCGCACTTTAAAGAACCGGCCAATTACATCCTTTTGAGATGAGCAGGGGCCAGTACATCCTTTGTAGGCACGGGTTACTCCAGTGTACTGACTTGTCCAGAGACCCTGCCACCATGGATCCCACCCTTGCGGGATGTACCTACGTAAACCTATGCCTAAACATACAGTGGCTACCACCACTTTAGGCGTCCAAGCTTCTACTTGGCTAAAAGACTGCAAATGAAGTAGAAAAAAATATGAGGAGGACCTACAAAAAAAAAAGAAGAGAGTAGAAATTCTTCTTTTTAATTCTAGAAATGAAAACCCTTAAAAGTTAAAAAAAAAAAATTATTGTAATGCTGCAGAAAAATAGTCGAATACATTACATTCAGTAACAAATTAATTTTACCTGCTTTAAATAAGAATTAGGCTTCCTCAAGCCTAAAAGGAAGAAGAGAAGCAAGATGTGTGTGTAGTTTCAGTATTTTACTTGTTGTTAGTTCCTCCTGACCTCACGCCACAATGTAAAAAATCAAAGGTTAACAAACAGATATCTGACCGAAAGACTTGCCTTGCCTTGGATGATTGACCTAGGCTAGGCTAGAGAGATGTAAACCCAATTCAGACATCTTGGTAAAAAAGTACAGACTTACATTTAAAATATGCTTGTAGAGTTAGAAACTATATAAATGAACTAAACATTCACAAGTTTAACACCGCCAAGTAGGCCTAAATAAGTAAGTTTTCTTTGTGACTAACCTTGAATTGAATGAAAGAAAAAAAACCGTTCCGCGCTGTGTCTAGCCAAGTCTAGCCTCATTGTTGTTGTTTTTGTAGAGGGCGCTATACAGATCGCTCTGAAATAGGAAATGCTGTAATAAAGTGCTCTCAAGAAAAGCTTAGTGGAGCGAAGTTTAAATTTGTGTTTATAACAAATGACTCAAATAGTTAGATAAACGAATTCTAGATTATTTCAATGTTGAATTACCGTACAGTACGACACACTAAACATATAAGGTAACTATTAGTATTAAAGATTTCTACATTTTGATAGTGGCCACCACTCTCTAGGGCCGGCCCTAGACTAGGCCTAGGCCTAGCCTAGGCCGAGGCCTACTACTACTACTACTAGGACTAGGCCCTAGGCCTAGACCCGTAGGCCTAGACTAGGCCTACCAAGGCCTAGGGCTACAGAGGCTAGGGCCTAGGCTAGCTAGCTTGTTAGGCCTAGGATATTTATCCCGCTATTTATATATATATAATATAGTAAGCGAGGCAGATTAGAGCTAAGCGATTGTCTGTAGGCTGAGCTATCTAAGGGATAGGCCTAGGGGCTAGCTCAGCCTAGCAGCTCATAAGCCTAGCCTAGGCCTAGTAGTAGTCCTAATAATAATAATTGTTGACTAAAGGCCAACTCAGACAGCGTCGGCCGACGCAGCCCGACGTGATGTGTTGTCACGTCGGGTCTGTGTGAGTTAAACGCAGACGCGATGGTGTGAGTCGGGGGCAGTCGTGTCGTAGAATATTAAACATGTTTAATATTTCTCACGACTGCTCAAGACTGTCCCCGATGATAAATCTGGTCAGGCTGCATCGGCCGACGCTGTCTGAGTTGGCCTTTATACAGCGCATATTGTAGGGAGACCTCTTGTAGTGGGTCACACATGAAACGGGACACATACTCAGGGCAGGCTGCGCGTTCCTTGGGAGAATTCCATCATAATGTTGCAGCTGTAATCAGCACATGGTTGTGTTTGAACCTACCAGGTACCCACTTGTAATCCTGGGTGGAGACACCAGTATAGGAATAGTAAGGCCTGCGCTGGGAATATATCCTCCCTGCAAAAATTTGGCCTAGAAATTTGCCGCGCATTACTGAAAATATGACCGATTTCTGCTCAGATTTTGCCAAAAATTAGGCTTTGGCCTAATCTGTCCAATCTGAATATAACCAATGCAATTATGCAGCAATTACGATTTCGTGCACCTATTTTCATAGCGATTTTCTGCGCAAATTTGGCCGATTTTTTTAGGTATCCTCTGCGCAATTAAAAAACTCTACAGTATGGGAGAGACTTCCGAAGGTAAAGTGCCTTGCCCAAGGACACTAGTGACTTGCACAACTGCTGCGCCAACCGCCTAGTCAGCAGTATGAGTGACAAAGAAAATATAGACTTGAGTATTAATAAATTAGTAAATTTAATTTTTTGTATTCTCACATCAACTTAGCTCAGAAAAAGCCAAACCAGCAGCAGAATGTCAAAAAAGAAGTCACAAAAATGGTCCAAGAAAGATCTTGATAGTGCTTTTGAGAAGTTTCTACAAGAGGTTGGTTTTTTTAAAATTTAATATTAAATTATGTTGTTTTACCTTTTGTTATTTGCTCATTATGAAATCTAATGAATAATTAGGTATACTTTCATCCCTCGTACCTATCCTCTTTGTTCCGTAACTCATAAGAGTGCAAGATGTGTTATCTCCATTTAAGTTTTTATCTTTTGATTCCTAGTCTGTTTCTGATGATTCATTTGATGCTGATCGCTACCATGAAAACTCATCTAAGGTGAAGGAAGATCTACCCTGGTGGATGAAAGAGGGTGAACAAGAGAAAGGCACACCTACAGGTAAGTCCACTCATCAATAACGTATTCTTGTCAATATAGCTTTTGCTGTTACGTACATACCAGTTACTATCTTCATGCATTGTTGTAGAGGACAACGACAAAGCTATGCCATTTTAGAGTCGCACTTGAAAAATCTTGTAAATTTCAAAAATTGCAATATTTCAATAATCCATTCTAGGTTTTAATTTTACATCACACTCATTTTTAACAGGTGATGTTTTCTTGTACTTTTTGACTAGTTGAAAAGCAATCTTTGAAAATCTGTTATTTTAACATACTTAATTTCATTTTATTTTTTTTCCTAATAAAAAAATATGCATTTTTTAAAAATATTAAATGCATACTTGAAAGAACAATAAAATGTTTGCCATCTTACTAGCCAATTTTAATTTGTTTAAATATTTTTAGTTTGTTTATGTCTGTATGGCTTCTTGTACTTAACAGGTGCTAGTAAATGGCTAAAGCCTAAAAAACAATCAACACCATTGAAAGAGGAAGAACACGATGAACCACAGGTATGGCTTCTGACTTTAATATAACATACCGGTAGTTAAAAAATATAATTTTATCATTCATAATGTTCCTTGAATTCTTGAATAATGAATTATCTAAACTTTCGGTTCGTAATATTAATACATTGGTTGTCTACTTTGTGAATACTTACCTGGATGAACCGACTAATTTCCACAGGGGTTGCCTTTTGCAATTCCCTCACGTGTGGGAGCGCCTGTCATTGATTTATGTATTTTGGAGTTTGTTAGGAGCAAGTTTGTTAAGGGGCGATTTTTGTGTACAGTCGGGGCGAGTTTGTAGGGGGAAAGTTTGTTAGGGGGCGAATTTGTTAGGGGGAAAGTTTGTTAAGGGGTGAGTTTGTAAGGGGGCGAGATTACAAGGGGCTAGTTTGCTAGGGGGCGAGTTGACTGGCATCCCCTTGGTCTTAACCAGCAATAAACAGTAGTATGCCATTTATACTATAGGAAAGCTAATTTTATTCATATATTTTGTTTGCATTCTTTTAGGAGGCAAAACCTAAACAGTTGGTTAAGACTGGCAGGCCAAGGGGAGATGCTGAGGTGGCCATGAGCAGAGATAGCCTAGAAGATGGTATGTAAATTTAGTCATGCTCATCCAAGGCTCATCCTATACTCACTGATTGCTCTTATAACCAATGTTCATTACTTGTTTTCTTCCTCATTGTCAATGAAGAGAATATAAATGCAACAACACAGGGCTCACTTCAACATGGGTCAGTTTAATCTTAAGGCGAGACTTATTTTATTCCTTGTTTCGCGTACTTATTTTTTTAAGATTATTGGAGGAGGGTGGAATAAAAATGAAAATAAAATTTTGTTTTCTTATTTAGCCAATAGTTTTGCCAAAATTATCCAGACGGTGGAGAAAATAAAAATAACATTTTATTGGTGAATGTAAAATAGGTTGGTTAAATGCTTCTAATGTATAATATACATAATTATCTTACATTTGGAGATTTCAAGGCAGCAGAGGGCATAATAAAAATTTTAAAAAACTTTTATTTTTTCTGAAATTTCCACTTTTTCATGGTGGCGGGTGTGCTAATTGGTCAAAAATAAAATAATATTTTTATTTGGAATCATCAATATTTTCAGTCGGCCTGTTCGCTAAACAAGGTATAAAGGAAAAGTCTTGTGTAACTGGCCATGTCTATAAATTTCTTCACACCTTGACCATGCTATAATATTCTTCACACCTTCACCATGCTATAATATTCTTCACACCTTGACCATGCTATAATATTCTTCACACCTTGACCATGCTATAATATTCTTCACACCTTCACCATGCTATAATATTCTTCCTGTACCCATAAGGGTGTTGCCTGAAAGATATGTTGTAGATGTAATAATATATTTTTCTGATGTTCTGTGTAAGACAATCTTTTTTTTTTTGACTTTTTAAATTGTGTTAATGACAATCCTCTATTTTTTAGGTCATAAAATTGCTAATAATGCTAAACAAAGGTAGGCATTTTTGTATGTTTATTTATATGAGATTTGATCAAATTGGTTCAGATGTAGAATGATATTGTGATGATTTAGTTGGTGTCAATGTAGATAACAATCAAAATGAGTAAACTTATAAAATATTGAAATAAAATATAAATAATATTATTTTTTATCAAAAATTATTATATTGTTGACATGATAAATGTTATGATTATGAAAAATCATCCTGTGTTTTTTGTTTAGTGACGTGGAATCAAGATCCGAGAGTTTTGATGAAAGCCTTAGTAATACCGGTAAATCATTCTCTTTCTATTAGATAAGGTGTGATAAAAACCCAATACCTTATATAGTGTTTAAATGTGCCGGTTACAGTTCATTGATTCTGTTGAGTCTTCTTCACTCAAGTTGAAACTTTAATAATCGTAAGCTCATATTTGGCTGTGGTGGGGTTGTACATATCTGGTGTCATCTTATTCTTATACTGTATATCAAAAATCAAAATACCTCAAATTAAATCATTGTAGGGGAGGAGTTTGGAGATCATATGTTAGCTTCTACTGGTCCAGAGAGAGGCTACCTATCATCAACTGGCCCAGGCATTGATACCCTAGCAGAAATTGCTGACAAAGAGCAGTTCTTTAAAGATCTGGAGGAGAAAAATGATGGGAAGACAATTGACTTCAGCAAGCTAAATGCTGAGTCTGATGTAACAGGAACACTTAATATGACAGGAAAAACAAGGTACATTGTGCTAATGATCTATTCTGTTAATACATATACTAACATGAAATTGGTGCGTATGTATCCTATTTGGTATGAGGGTGTTCACAATTATAAACATTTTCACAAGTGTACACACATTTGGTTAGGGGGAGAGGGTAGACAAATTTGTGCACTTTTACATATATGCATGAAAATGTTCATTCAATATAACATGGAAAATATTTATAATAAAATTTTATGACCAATTATAATGTAACCTTTGAATATAATATACATTTTTAAGTAAATAAGTGCAGTACTTTAGTTGACTTCACAAAAAAAAAATGGGAATGATTTTGCAAAATCAACATATTTATGTACACTTTCAGAGGGGAGGGAGGGGGTACCGAAAGAGAGTACTGTTTGTACACCTGTGAATATGTTGATTATTGTGAATAGCCCCTAACATATGTAATCAAAATACGAAAGGATTATGTTGTGTCTTTGAAGATACACATTGTTTACAGTCTGTGACACTCCTAGATAGATTATATGTGACCTGGCCCCAGCCCCCCTTTTTGGGAGGTAAAAAATGAAAAAAAAAAGAAAGAAAAAGAAATAAATGATAGCCCACAACGCCTCAAATGTTATTTTCGGGCGTATAGAACACAAAAATTTCTCAGGGATGACCCCCTAGAACATTGTTGTCTCAATCGGCCCAAATTTCGGCCCCACTTTTGCCCCCCCCCTTTTGGACATCTCTGGATCTGCCCCTGGTATACTCCTACATAGATTATATGTGAATGGCTCTGGTAGAACCCGCCGTTTGTTGCAATTTCTAATTTCCCACAAGCACCCAAAATATTTGAAAGTCAGAATTTTCAACATTTTCAGGTTTTTTTCATTATTTAAAAGAAGACATATGGAAGAACATTTCTGCAAATTGTCAATTGCTAAATTTAACTGGAAAGTATATTAAAAAATTTTTTTTTATTCAAATCTTGGAATCTTTGGAAGCTGTGTTCTTAAAACCTACGTAGCTGATATCCAGTGAATTAAATATTCATAACTTTGCTAATACTTAACCAATTTCCATCAAATAAACACTGTATTAAAGAAGTATTCATGTAGAATCTAAAAACACCAGAAAAATCAATTTTGAATTTTTCCTACAAAAATGAAATCATTCTAGTTTCAGTTTTTTTATGTTATTCATAATTCCTGTTATTTTTTAAGGTTACCTTCTGAAAATACTGTTCATGCCAAAAATAGAGAAGGTGAGTCACTCAGTGATCTGTAATTGTATACTTAGATTTGGAAATAATAGGAAATTTTACTCGTAGAAAAAAAAAAACACCCCTTACAATATACATATTAAACACCTGCTTTATGTTGACTAATATGGTAGAAAAAAAATGGATGATTTCAGTTATATTGGATTCAATATATTATAGATATTTCTTGTGAAAAAAGTAATCTACTGATTTACAATAAAGAATTACAATTTAATGTTCTCATTTAGATTTCAGTGAAAGACTGGCTTCACCAAACTCTAATATTGAGGAATATTCCCCTGAAATTAAGAGCAACAAGAGAGTAAGTTATAATTGTTTGTGTTTTATATAATATTTAAATATTAGATCAAGTTTATTTAATGAAATATTAAATCATTTGAAAATATTGTATTGTCGCATTTATTTTTTTGCTTCTGAATTGTATTCTTATATGTATATAAATATACTGTATTACACTTCGTGTATGGAAAAATCAATAAAACAAACATATAAATACAAGATTCAAGATTCATTTATTGTCATCATCATCATTACATGTTGAAATACTTCCATTTGGTTTGAATATTATTGTAAATCGAATAACAACATGCATCAGCAACCTCATCAATCATCATCACCTTCACTACCATTGGCATCATAACATCAGCATCATCATTATCATAGTCATTATAATCATCATCATTGTTATCACCCCCAGTTTGATTTGGCATCATTCACTATCATTATAATTGTTGTGGCCATTCATTCTCATTGATGCCAACTTAAAATGTTTCTTTATACTTTATAGCCAAAGTCCAGCATGCTTTCTAAAGGTAAGATAAACTTGGCTCATACTCCCCAGTACTATTACTTTGAAGAATATTAAACCAAACTTTTATAATCTTCAACTACCCACTCCTCTGACTAAAATCAAAGCATATATAATGATGACCACATACTGTTATTCAGTAATACATTACAAAAACTAGACAAAGTATGCTTTATTAAACTTTTGTCTTTTTTGTGAATAAAAGTTGCACTCTTAGATACAGCTGAGTCCACCCTCAATGTTGGTAAGCAGGAGGACAGTAAGTGGCCAAGTGGAGATGGAACAAAGAGTGCTGTGAGCTCCAAAACAACTGCATCTCAAAGAAAAATGCAACCTGAAAGCCAAGGTATTATACTTATTATCATAATAAATATGTATAATATATTTTTTTTTTTTTAACAATCTTTTGACACAAAGGTACCCCTCTAATTGGAAACTGAAGCCCGAGACCACCCCACATTTTCAGATCCCAAATGTTGTCTCAAATTTAAGGGCAAACTGTAATATGGTAATGGCGCTGGCAATAATACAATCACCCCAGTCATTTGGAACCAGCATCACTCTTTGCAGTATATGCCTAGTCATACTGCATTGTGCCCAGATCAATTCATTCATTGTCACAACATCCACAGAGAAAAATACAGGTTGGGTGTGTGAGTCCCCTACAGATGAGATGAGATGTACTGTTGCTAAATGTTAAACTGAGTAATTTGCATATGAATGTGGCAGTATGGTGTACTTTAGTAGAGGGAAGCAAAGAGTATAAATAGAACAAGAGAGCAAAGTCCCGTTCGTAAAAATGTCATGCCTGTGTAGGACGCCCACTAACGGTTGTATGTTCTTTTTATTACCCAGTGCACAGCGCTGCGCAGCGCGGTAGAAGTACGCCCGCTATAAACTCAGTCAGCAGAAAACAAAATTACAGTATCTTGTGGAGAACAGATAAACAGACAAACTGACCGTGCGCGGTGGAGTACTGGGTAATAAAAAACATACAAGCGTTAGTTAGCGTCCTACACTAGCTGCGTAGGGCGTATCGTTTTTTTACACTCTCAATGAGCGTTGTTGGCTCTCTTGTTCTATTTATACTCTTTGAGGGAAGCTATAACATTTTAGCTCCTTTGGCAATTCCAGTAAATGACCCATCATTTCAAAGCTTATAATGTGGAGAATATGAATATATTAAATAGTCAATTTTCATGTTTTTGTCACCGATGCTGGTTTTGGTATGGCAAACCACAGATTGGTAAGTAATAATGGTGTCATTTAAAAAATCTCATATCATGCCTTTCTTGTCAAGTCAAGTATTGATGAAATTTGGAATGGATGGGTTGATATTGTAAGCGCTGCCATGAATGATGAAATCTCGAGAACTAAAGCTTTGTCTAACTATCAAATTTCATCAAAAAAAGCGTCACATAAAATGTGATGGAACGTAGAGGGGAACACTTTTTTTGATACAATTTGATGTGTGATATGATGTCATTGTACCAATATATGGGCACATCACATTTTTTTGTCACATAAAATATGATAGTGTAGACAAAGCTTTAGGATAATTGGGTTACATTAAGTTTGCGCAAATTATGTTTTTAAAAGTGGCTGCTTTATGTTAAGTTTAAAAAATCAGGTTTAGAGAGGGATCGCGATAAATTTAAAAAAATAAGTAATCAGGTTAAGAACCAGAGCCTATGCTGACTAATCTCGCATCATTAAATACATACTAAACATGCAGTTTTTGCTACATGTTTATTTTTTATTGTTTTTGCCGAAACAATTTTGTAGATTTACTAGACGCAGGGACAGGAACTGAGCTTGAGGCTCTCCATGCTGCTCTGAGGAAAGCAAGAGGCGATGTTTTGTCAGATGGCACAAAGGGTCATGGCTCAGAAACTGAAGAAGATGATGATGATGATTCAATTGTAGAAACGAAAGGTGAGACTTTCAACCAGTTGTAGCTTGATAGGTCGGCCTGGCGTCTTTCAATTCAAAGGTCCGTGGTTCAAATCCTGTTGCACTTTTAGAGCATTACTTCCATCCTGCAAAGTGATTAGAGACTTAAACAATTACAGGATTGAGATCTCAGATGATTTTTAAGCCAATAACGACAACTGTATGGGCTGTAATGTGTGGGCTACCATTTACTTTATATGGACCAGTATAATTCAATAAAAATAAAGCTTGAAACACATGTCCGCCTGTCCGCCAATTAATCCATCTTTACTCTGTATGAGTGTTTTACAAATCAGCACAATCTGCTGATTGCCTGTTGCAGATTGTCAATAAAAATGATCCATTGTGCACACCTTGTTGTATTGCATTCTTGATTGAATCAAGCTATATACTACTACTAAGTCATAGCTTTTGTAATTGAGGAACTTTGTGTTTCCAACCAATAAATTTTTTTTCTTGGGTAGATCCCAATGCTAGAACTGTTGATGATATACTTCGCGAAGTTCAAGAAGAGAGGCAGCGCCACCTAGCTTCAAATTTGAGTGATGATGAGTTTAGGACCAGCGTTGATGGCAGAGGTGAGCATGGACCAGCCTATCGGAGTCAATTCAATGCCAACAGGAGCCTTGATTTAGATTCCAACCCAGAAAGAGACAACAGTACAAGCAACAGGGGGCTTGGCAACCAATTAGCAACTGAGGATGAAGATAATAACAGGGGATTTAGCCTCCAACCAGCCACAAGAAATGAAACTGATAATAGGGGGTTTAGCCTCCAACCAGCCACAAAAAAAGAAACTGATAACAGGGGGTTTAGCCTCCAGCCAGCCACTCAACATGAAGATGTTGACAGGGGTTTTAGCCTCCAGTCAGCCACTCAACATGAAGATGTTGGTAGGGGTTTCAGCCTACAACCAGCACTCAAAGAAAATGATGCTCATGGATTCAGCCTCCGTCCCGCTTCACATGTTCCTAGTAGTGACAGGTTCTTTACTGCTAGTGTAAGTCACATTGTGTGTTAGTTGCTAGCATGGTGGCCTTGCATTTCAGCTGGAGGGCTGAAATCCAAAGTTAACATTAGTTCACCACCTTTTGGAAGTGAATTTTTTTGCCATTGGTCCTGTGTCCTGTCTAATTAGCACCACTGAAAATAATTCTTCAGACTTCAATAGTTTATCCTCGATATGTTTACATGCCAAAAAATCCAACTCAATCCAACTTTGTCCAGTTCTAAGAGAGTGTTCCTTAATCATGCTTGTAATTTAGAAGCAGACCAAGTTCATTCCAAATCTTTCACACCCCACCAGTACCTCTTCATACTCTGGGATTGAAAGAAAGAAACCAAAAAGAATTTCTTGCTCAAGGAAAAAAACAATGAGACAAACTTGGATATGAACCCACTTCTTTTTGATTGACTGCCGGAAGCCCACTTGCTGTGCCACAATTTTCCAGCATGGAATTGAGAGTCTATATTTCTTACAATAAAAAATATAAGCATTAGTTATTATTTTACTTTTCGTAGGCTGATGATGAAGATTCGTTTAACAGACTACCATCACCATCCAAGCCACAAAATAGAGGTATTAAAATGCTCATTTTTGTACAAGTTTAAACAATTTATATTTTTTTTTGTACTTAAATTTCATGTCTATATTTCATTGCTATGGTTTGCAAAAGGATTTATTCTCATTGTAATAAATTAATCATGCAAGGTACAGTGTAGGTGACAATCTGTATTTTAGACGCGTCCCTTTTTTGTGTCAAATTGTAAAACTTTTAAGAGGCCTGGTACATCATAGAATGCAAAACCTTTAACCCCACTCTAAGCAGTTCTAGTCTGTGTTAAAACCAAACTTTTGAAAAAATAATTTCAAAAGGCCATTAAAGCTTTTATTTTTTACAGGTACTAAAGGAAAGTATAGTCACGTGAAGAGTTCAGGGTATGGACCACCAAAGCTGACATCACAAGCAGCATGGTCACCTGCACAGGTGGCTAAACACAAGATCAAAGGTCACTAAAATTGTTTATATCATTAATGACTAGTTTGTACTTTTATATTTTTGATATATTTTTTCAATTCAGTTTTTAAAATTGTATTAATGTAAAAATAATGCATTATACACTTTAAGATAATGCAGTATTTTTATTGACCTTATTCCATTTAGGTTCAGAGTCGGCTAATAGGACAGGTAGAACCAGGGCAGGGGATAAGAACCTGGTGCAGTCGGTAGAATCATTTGCGCACTACATTCAAGATCACTTCAGCCGAGGGAAAAAGTCACCGCCACCAGAAGTGAGTGAAACAAATTATTACCTAAATTTCTAATAGATTTTAAAGAAAATCTTGTGTAATGTATTGAATCCTAATACAAATAGATATCGTAATTCATTTATTGCTAAGGGTATAAAATACTTAATGAAAATCATGAAAGATAGATAATAATCACAATATTGTAGTAGTAGTAGTAATAATAATAATAATAATAATAATAATGGTGGTAATGATAATAATTGTAATAATGATGAAAATAATAATAGTGGTTATTACTATTATTATTATTATTAAAAAATAATAAAATAATAATAATAATAATTATTATTATTTGATGTTTCCTCTTGAGTAGTTTCTCCTTTCTTAAATGTGTAACCCTTTTTTGTTCTCTTCAAACATTTTTTATTATCTTTAAATATTGTAGGCCTTCTATAATTTTAAATTTTTCTGTGCTTTTTGATGGAATTTTGGTGTTGATTCTTTTTTTTCCTTGACCAATTTTAATGTGATTTTCTTGGAATTGTACTTTTTGCGAGCTTTATAATTTCTTTATTTTAACTGGAGACAATAAATTTTATTTTGTATCTTGCAATTGTCAAGTCTTTTTTTTCAAAGAGAGTATTTACTTAACATTAATTATCCAAACCCAACACACATTACTTACACTTAGCCTTAACTTTCAGTGGTCAAACAATGAGCCAAATCTCTCTGCCAGTCTAAAAGATTCAAAGATTCAGATCATCTCACGAGAGAGGGCGCTGGTTGCCGAAGTAGCTGAGTGGCAGCAGAGATGGAAGGAGGAGCAACGGCAGAATTGGAAATTAAAATCAGAAATAGCATCAAAAGAGCGAGAATTTGCCAGAAAGATGGAAGAATCAAAATTGCATCATGAAAAAGAGCTTTTCAAGTTAAAACAAGATAATTTTGTCTTACAAGCAAAGGTAGCTTGCTATTCAAGTCTTTTTATAGTGGCTTCTTTTAGAAATAGAACTACTGTATTAATATGGATTCCCATCAGTAGGAATTTAACCTGACTGGTTTTTACTAAATATGCAGTAGGTCTTGAGATAATTGGCTTTGTTAATAATGGCAATAGAAAGTTGGAGCTTGCTAATTATTGTGCCTACATTAGCTGCCTCTGGTCCTCAGGTGCTCCTGGATCCCAGTTGCTCCTGGTTCCCAGCTTCCTCTGGTTCCAGCTGTTTCTGGTCCTCAGGTGCTTCTGTTTCCCAGCTCAATCAATCAGTCAGTCAATATATTGGACCCACTTTTGATTCAGTGGCACTCATGCAAAAATAAAAAATATATTGAAAAAGAAAATTACTTAAAATTACAAAATACAAAGTAAAACTGCTTCGGTTGCCCAATAACTAATCCCACTTATTGGTTATTTCAGTACTTTTTTGTGTTTAAACTAACAAGTTTACTCATGTTTGTTATCGCTATTCCATGTGAAGGTCAACAGTGAAGAAGAACAAGAAAAAATGAAGAAAAGGTTGGCTTCTGGAAAATCTGTTGATGAGATTAGCAAAGAGGAGGTGAAGCTGCTACACAAGGAGGTTATTGAGCAAGAGACACTTCTACAAGGATATCAACAGGTATTGTACACTATTATTTGCAGTTTAAGAAGTTTTTAGTTTAAATCACCCTCTTTGTGGCAAATAAGTACCAATGGAATAGAATGTTATAAGGCAGACTCTTTCGAAAAAAACTTGATTATTCATGTGCAAGATAACCAGATTAAACTTTTCCTATATTATGGTTTTTGTTATTATTTTATGGTATTTTTTGTTCTTTAGGAGAATGAACGTTTGTATAGTGAAGTGAAAAAGTACCAACATATTACAAAGGAAACTGAAGAGAGATTGTTTAAGGAAAATCAGAAACTAAATACAGACATTGGCAACCTGAGGTATGTTTTGGTTATACAAGTTATTATTATAGTCATCATTGTTGATCTCTTTAGCATCACCACAACCACCAGTGGTTTTACCCCAAAAACCATATTTTTTGTTTTTGTTTGATGTTTTTGTTATTGATACTCACCACACAAAACTTCAAGAAACATCGTCACAATCACCGCTCTCATCAACCTCTCTATCATATCAGCCATGGACATTACGCTCCAAGGAAACCCACATTTAAGCTAGTACTGCTTGCTTCTGCCTTTTGCGAATACTTATTCTAACTTATATTTTTAAATCTTGTCTCAAATTATGTTGAATAATTTATCTACAATGGATGTTCTGAATTTTATCTTTCACAGAGAACAACTGGAGCGGAAGGAGCTAGCCCTCAGGCATAAGGGAATCATCACCAGTGACAGAGCACAAAAGGACATCAAGGCTGGAGCCACCGCTGTGTTAGGAGCTGGACGAATTGCTCAATTGGAGGCTGAAGCTGTTGAAGCAAAGGTAATGAAATAATTTGTCTAATTACATTGATATTATATAAATAAATTATATGGATAATTATTTCTGTAAGTGTCAATTAGGAAAAATTATTTAAATTTCTTTGTATTAGAAAAAGATATATAAAATATGACTTAATATAAAACATACTCCAAATAAAGTAAGACTTGTCACTGTGATTCAATATTTCAATCTTTTATTTATGAGTAACAAACGTGAGGCCATAACATTTTTAATTCTTCGGAGTTACCATACTCATTTACTTTTGAATAATCAGTGGATCCTTTAGATGAAGACATGGTAAGGACATTTGGAAATGCAAGCAAATCAAAACTATTGAAATATTTTGAATCCTGAAAGTGACAGTCCCACGTGTCCACACGATAATTGTATGTGAGCCTGTATTCATTATTTTACATTCTTGTTCAATAATCAAAAAACATTTTCTGAAACAAACTAGCTGAACATTTGTATTCTACGTGAAGCATACAAATATCACATGAGATTAATATCTGAAGGGGACATGTAATTGATTGCGTGCATTTATCACGTTACGCCAGTGTCCAAGGGAAACAGCTAATTGATTGCATGCGAATATCACAGGAAACCAGTGTCCAAGGGAAATTGATTACATGCAAACATGTGAAACCAATGCCTAAGGGAAACAGCATCTGACTTATCAGATGAAACCACTGTCCGATAGAGACATGTTATTGATGGATAATAATCACTGAATCCAAGTAATTTGTTTCCCCACATAGTACTGTACATATTAATGAATCACCTCGCATAGAAAATTTAACACCAGAAATGTTTTAAAAATTGTTTATCTGTAGATTGTTGAAGCAGAGTTAAAGCAACGGATTCGCCAATTGGAAGAGGGAGAGAGGGAGGTAAAGAACCATATAGAGTTGATGGTACGGGAACGAAACCTAGCTCAAGAAACCATCAAAGCAATGAAGGATGAAAAAATCAACGAGTTTCAGGTATTTTAAAGAAAAAAAAAAAGAAATTAAATTGCATTTGTCTGTCACCACCCTAGAGTATTAGATGGGTACTTGGTAGGACAACCTAAAGTGACCTTTCCCCGCCCCCTTCCACGCACTCTTTTGGATTTCTGGGTCAGGCTACTGAACTGGATATACAATTCTTCCTTTCATTTTACTAGAGGGTACTTATCGCTTTAATTTTTTCTGGCATTGATTTGATGAACTTTGAAGTGATTTGAGGTTAGATGCTATAAGAATCTCATTATTATTATTATTATTATTGTTGTTATTATTATTGTTAAATCTACAGGCACTTCAAAAGACCTATGACGGAGAAGTAGATAAGCTGAAAAAGAAACTGAAGTGGTATGCAGAAAATCAGGATTTATTAGATAAAGATTATCAATCACTGAAAGAGAAAGATGAGCAACTGAAGATGCTAAGAGATGAATTGGAAAATTATAGAAAAGAGGTAAAAATTGATGTAAAAGTTTGCTTTAATTCTAATAAATGCCATTTGGTGGTGCTTCCCAGGGTAATTTCACACAGTGATTTTCACATTTAAGAATTTTTTTACTATAATCTCTCTTTTAGAAAAGCCAAAAGTCCACAGAGACACAGAGGAGAGCTCAAGAGAGGGCAGCAGATGCTCGTAGAATACAAGACCTTCAAAGACAGGTTAACATTCAGATTATTGATATTTTTTATATTTTAGATAGTTGTTTAATATTATTAGTATTATTTTCATTATTATTACTGTATTATTTTCATTATTAGTATTATTTTCATTATTAGTATTATATATTGATGTGAGTTTGCATCAGGAAAATACCATAGGAGTAATGTTTTGCCTTACCTGATGTGTTATTGTTCCGAATACTCGGTACGTACAGAAGGTATAACACGTCAGGTAGGGCAAAACATCACTCTTATTAGTATTATGGTTATAGTATTATTTTCATTATTAGTATTATTGCAATTAATAACTTAATTTATATAAGAACATTGACAATCACAGCATTAATATTTTGAATTGATTTTAGGTGAAAGAGATGGAGGAAATTATCAAGAAACGATATCCAAATTCTCTACCTGCATTAATATATGCAGCAGCATCTGCTCCAGGCCAGGCCCAAGATAAAGATGCTCCTAAGGCCAAGTCACACACCATGTCGTACCTGGAAGGTAGGGTACACAAGCTGGAAGAGGAACTTGAAGAAAAGGATGAAGAAGCTAAGAGAGGGCTTAGGGTTATGGAACAGAAATTTAATAATGTTAAGGTTAGTTTATTATAGTTCTTATAATAAGTATAAATATATACCGTACATATATTTTTTCATATTAAGTAATCAATTTGAGAAGTTTTTGTTGTAAAAATCTATAAATCAGCAATATCTGTTTTCGATTATTTATTAACAACTTATTTGATTTTGATAACACGTTTGCTGCCAGGGACTTAAGTTGACAACTGACAATGTTACACTCAGGGACGCCATAGACATGAATTCATGTCCACACCTTTCCAAACATACCACTATTGTATTTCCTGTAATTTCGCTGGCAGTTGGTTCAGGGAAGAACCCTGAAACAATAATATAAAATGAATACAGTACCGTTCATATATCATTACGTTTGATGGGAATGATTTTCATTATGGTGGAGCCCTTTATGCCTTGGCGTATTGGCAACAACTAGAAAAAGGTGTTGTCAGGCAACATGTTAAATTAGCAGTTCAATATTTTTAATTGAATTTTTTACATTTTCCCACAGATTTTACCAAAGACAATATATCCTAAACATGGATTATCATAAATACATTACAATTATATAATATATTATTATTTTTTATTATGAAAATTATTATTATGAAATTTGTATTAGATTCAGTATGAGGAAAGGATCAAAACACTTGAGAATCAATTATTCCAGTACACAGCAAATCCAGCATCAACAACTAGTCGTCCCCACACCAGTGTCATGGTGCTACAAAAAGAACTACAAAGTGTTAAAGAACGTCACAAAACCAAAATCCAGAGTATGCAAGAAGAAATGGAGCTTATGCAGAAAAAACTAGCAGGAAAGAAGGAGACCAGCAACAAAACTGAACCCTATAAAACAATTGGTGTGCAGCCTAACCAGGTCCAATTAAAACAATTGACAAGGTGTGTGTGAAAAAATAGTATCTTTTCAAATCAGACCAAACTGTTGTTAAAAGATATTTTAAAGAACTAATTGAGACAATGGTCTGAGATTTTGCCTTTACAGTTTGTTATCCTAATCTTAATCACATTAATTTCACAATCATTATTATCATCATCATATTCACCATTAAGCAAAAAAAAAAAAAAGACTTTCATTCTGATTATTTTTAATATTATATAATTTCCGTTATACTTCAGTGAATTGGAAGAAAAGACCCATGAGATGGAGCTTTTGAAGGCAACTTGTGAGAAATTGATGATGGAGAGAGTTGCAACCATGACAACCAATACAGGACCAACCAAAAGTAAGCTTTTTGAATGTTTACCCATTTACAATGTTTATGTGCTTGTGTCTGTGGGGGGGGGGGGGGATATATATATATATATATATATATAGTATACCAGTATACTTTTATTGCATAAATATATACACATTATTGCTAAATAAAACATTTAAAAAGCAGAGAATTGCTGTATCGAATAATATAACACCTACTGTAATCCTGTGTTTAGTAACTGGTACTTTAATCTCATTAGAATCTCGTTAGTGTGTCGTTAAATGTGTTGGTCTGATGCAGCACTGCGCATTACTTGGAATATTCCCTCTGGGAGCATCAGAAATTACACATTGTGTGTGTTAGTGAATGTGGAGCTGTTGACAAGGTTAATAACCTTGCAGCATGTACTTTGACATGGTGTTGGAATTATTGGTAACTGTTTATTTTATAACTATCATACTTCTTATTAATAATTGGTTATATTGTATAATACTTCACAATAAATTTTTATTCAATCAATTTCCTTTATCATATATATTTTTTTTTTTACAATTACCAATTCAAAGATTGATTGAAAAGCCATCAATTACAAGCAAGCTTTAAGTTTTGATGCCCTACAAAGAAAGAACAATAATAACTACAAAATAAAAATAAAAAGATAATAATAGAAGACGATTCATTTATAAATCAAGATTCTTAAAAAAAAGTGTAATAATAATATGACAAATACAATGGAAAGAAAAGTAAAATTTCAACCAAGTAAAGTAAAGATTACCAGTTTTATCTATATTTGTTAAGTAGTCTGTTATGTATTTCTCTTTTAAATAAACTAATACTTTGTAGATTTTTTATATTGTGTTCTAAGCCATTCCATATTTTGGCGCCTCTATAGCTGATACTGTATTTATAATAACAGCTGGAGCCGTATTAGTCAATAGTATACAAATATTGACTGCTCATGAGGGGAATGGTAAAATTTATTGCCTCGAGGTGATGTGGAGACTGTAGCCTATCTTACCAAGGGCCCAATCGAAGTTCGAAAAAAGGCCACAGGCTCCACATCACCAAGGGCCAATACAGTAGATTTCACTGTTCCCCGAATCTAGAGCAGTCAATATTTGTTTTATCATACATAGATTCTACAAGACCTAAAAAAGTACTTACTTCCTAGCCTAGGTTAGCTAGAGGCCTAGGCCTACTACTAGACTACTAGTCTAGGCGATCAAAGAGTGTGTCTTGCTCATTTCCTCAATTTCAACAGCACCCATCGTCTTGCAATATTTGTCGAATATTGACAAGACAATTTTTAATTTGTCTTTTGGTGCTTTTGCAAACAGCTTCATCAAGAAGTAATGCTAGGCTACACCTTCTTCATCCAGATGCCCGAACTGTCAATACTTGTTTTATATACTTCATACATAGATTTTACAAGGCCTAAAAAAGTACTTACCTAGGTCTACTCTACTACTACTCTAACTAGGCAATCAAAGAGTGTGTCTAGGCTGGCTCTTCTTTGCTTATTTCCTCAATTTCAACAGCACCCATCGTCTTGCAATATTTGTCGAATATTGACAAGACCCATTTAATTTGTCTTTTGGTGCTTTTGCTATCGGCTTTATCAAGAGGTAATGCTAGGCCTAGGCTAGTCCTTCTTCATCTCGAACTGCCAGCCTCCATAATTGTTCATCATCTACTTGCTGATCCTTGACGCCGTCAAGGGGCAATCTTGTCATAGAGGTCGCAGTCCCCTTTACCGTCAACAGCGCGATGTTAAGTGGGCCTAGGGCTTGCATCGCGACAAGTCAAAAAATACTGTACTATTTTTCAGAGGAATAGTACTTTTAGTGCCCGCTTTTTAACCAATCAGATGCTTAGAATCTATGTATGAGGTATATAATACTTTCTATTGCCCGCTTCTTAACCAATCAGATGCTTAGAATCTATGTATGAGGTAGAGTATATAACAATACAAATGAAATAAGACAGTAGCACCTTCTCTAGAGTAATTTATTGAGACATTTAGAAGCTTTTGAATGTGTTTCACCCTTTTTCATGTACCTGTTTACTTAGTGTCTCCTGCTAAGTACTGAACCTTACAGTGTAGAGGATTTTACTGAGCTCCAACTAAATTAGTATATTTATTCATCGATACATAGTGAGATACATAGATAACATACATAAAGTATACATAGATATAGTGTATAATACATAGAGCTGCTTTACACTCACATAGATAGGTACATTACATAGATATAAATACATAGATACCTAGATTTATACGTATATAAATAGGTATGTATATAGATACATAGATAGGTACAAATATATTTTGTATAGGTACAGTAGGTGTACTGTAAATACAATGATAACTATGGTAATGTAAAATAATGGTTTTAGTTTAATTGTAAATTATAGACAACCCCATATGGAATAGTTGATTTATTAATAATAATAATAACAGTGTAGTTTTATATAGTGCCATATCCATCTAATAATATAAAATGCTCAGGGCGCTTGATATGTGGACTATTGTTCTCTTCTACCATCACTGTTTTTAATTTATACTGTATAGAGAGAATGCAGAATATATTAAATACATGAATGAATACTAGCAGGTGTTGCTATTTCAAGGTGTTTTTATTATTTAAACTTGAATTAGTGGTTCTAACTAATGTTATTCAGATTTTCTACTGGTACCATATGTGTTGAGTGAGTGCATAATTCCATATTAATTTCCAAACATAAGTAACAGTTCTCCAAGGATTACTTTATAATAATAATAATAATAATAATAATAATAATAATAATAATAATAATAATTGAAAATGATAAATTGTTATTTATTGATTTAAGTATTTATATACTTATTTATTATTTTTATCAGTACATATTTTAAATATAAATTTTTACATTATGATCTTGTAAATGGAGATCAGCCTTAAAGTTCTTTGAACTTATTTGACCTCCATCCACACCCGTTTCTTTTAATCTTATGTAAGTAATTTTGTCTGTATTAAATGTACAACTGTATATGAATTGATATGTGTAGAAAATCAAATAAACAAACAAACAAATAATGATGATGATAATAATAGTGGATATTTGTATAGCGCTGGTATCTGGCAAACCTGGTGCTACATACTTGGACATGTCTCGTTCATTAATTTCCTGCATCCCTAAGGGTCTCTTTATGTCTTACCTACCCAGAAAGCGGTACCAGCTACTTTCGTCTGTTTACTTATTTTCATGATGACAAATAAATTGAATTTTAGATTGGAGCACTCTTGTTTTTTAGGCTGAATGATTTGGCTGTTGATACAAAATGGAAGACTGAAAATCCAAAACCCAAAATGACACCAATAGAAATTGAATTGGAGTTGCATCCCCTTATTCTTTTGGTAACGAGAAACAAACATTTTTATTTCATTGTGAATTATGTGACTAAGAATGATGATGATGAAGTTCATTTTCATGTAGGCCCATCTGGGAGCAAACGTGGCAAAAAGTCAGGCACTCAACCAGATGAAAGTCGGGCAAAGGTGTACCATCCAGACAACTTTGCAGGCCTTCACATATCAGAAGTTGTACAGGAAAATGACAGGCTAAAGCAAGAGGTTAGGAGAACAATGATTTTATGATCATTACTAAACATGAATATTTATTAAATATACTTGTTGACTAAGTTTTCCTTGTTTAAAATTTGTTTCATAAAAAGGCGAAATTGCCTTACATTCTCTATTGCCTTTTAAATCCTAAATCCTTTTTCTGGCAGTTTTGTTGCTTAGAGGCAAAACAAAATTATATGCTCCAGACTCCTTTCCCATTAGAGCCCCTTCTGTGTCTAATTGTATTTTATCGTTGAATGCAATTTGGCCGTATACAGGTTTGGCACTCATCAATTTGAAATCAAACACTTATGATCCACAATTTTGAATTTTTAAATCTTTTAGTGCAATAGATTATCGTTAGAAATGGAGCAGCAGCGACTTAAATTACAGGCCTCGCTTGCAGAGAGTGAGGGCGCTATTAGACGAATTAAGGAAGAGAAAGCAGAAGAAATAGCCAGACTGAAATCTGATCAGAAATCAGAGATTGAGAGGTTGATAAGTAATGCTGCAGTAAACAATTCTGAGTCGGCAAACTCTAAGCTGAGAAGCAAGGTAGAGACACAAGAGGTAAGGCTTTGAATAGTTAGCAGTGACGTAGTGCTTTCAGGTTCCCACATTCCAAACTCAAGTCGTGGGTTCGATTTTAACAAGTGTAAGAATTTTATCTGGACTAAAGAATAACTTGTGTACATAAGACTCATAATTGGTCCAATAAATAAACTGTCTTTATAAGTAAAATATAAATCATGATTTGTAATTTCCCAGTTTTGGCATTAATTTCTGTAAATTTTCATTTCAGTTTAGTTGATTTTACTTATAACAAACTTTATCAATAAAATGATGCTGCAAAAGCAATCGGAGCTCAGCAAACATAATAACATAACTTCTAACAAACAACTTAATAAACAACAAACAACAAACTAACATAAAAACTTCTACAACCTTAACTTAAGTTTATTGCTCACGTCTTTGAAAAAAGACAGACTAAGTAGTAGCAAATATAAGAGAAAAATACTACTGTTTTTTTTCTTTCACTTGGTAATCAGTTTTAAGGAACTCATTAATATTCATGAACTCATCTAATTCATTCCATGTGTAGATAGGTAGAATTAACTAGGATAGAGTGAAGTTACCAAAATGAAAGTGGGCTCAGCTCCCATATTATAGAAAGATGAACAACTTTCGTGAAATATAAACCATACAGATGAACAGATTAATGTCATGTAAGATTAGGTAATTTTTAATATGCTGTATTTTCCACTACATTTGTCAAACAAGAGATTTTAAAATTCTGTCCACTTCAGTAATATCCTTATGTTATGTAATTTGAGAAATGCCACAATTTGACCCACTTATGAATGCTCATTTTTCATTACGGTAGTATGCTCACAAAAGTTAAAAAAAAAACTTAGCAATAAGGTCATAATTATTCGTACTACATTTTTTAAATAGACATTTTAACTCTGATCCTTCTTTTCATACTCGTAAATTGTCATCTGTAATATATTGATTTCATGAACATTTAAGCATGTTTGCAGCAATTGCAAAAGTAATACTCCCACGATAGAATAAATCGGTTTTTTTATGCTATGTTCTCTAGGTTACCATAAGACATCTCCAGCAACAGCTATCAAGTTCTCGTATCAGTGCCGATGCCCTTGCAGTTGCTAAGATACAGGAAGAAACTCTTAAAGTTCAGGTGGAACAGTTAACAACAGAGTTACAAGAAGCAAAAGCATGTCACAGTCCAGTGAGTTCAGCAAAGTTTAACTTTAAATTATGACTTTCAAGTTATGAAGATGCGATGAAAGAAAATGTATTAGATACTTACTGCCCAGGTGACTGAATAAGCTATTGCCAAGGTGACTGAATAGGCTGTTGCCTGGGTGACTGAATAAGCTGTTGCCCACCAGGTGATTGAATAAGCTGTATCTGATGTCACCAAATAGATACACTTTAAATAATGACCGCTTAGTATTAGATATAAATATAACAAATTCTAAACTTAGAATCTTATAAAATCAACTAAAATGATCTTTATAAGTAAGCCTATGCTATTGAAATTATTTATCTTACATTCAGGAAATGAAACATTTTGAAGCCCTACAAGCCAAGATAGTTGCCATGGAAAACAGGTTAGTATTCTGTCGTCATAGCACATGTGCACAAAATGGAACTAGGTTCACTGTTCAAAAAACTGTAGAGGATTTTCCATGGTAGGCCCACACTGAGGCTGCCTGAATTTATTTTTTGGTTTTCACCACACATACATACATATGTACATTTACTTATAATAATAATAATAATAATAATAATAATAATAATAATAATAATGATGTATAGGTGTAATTTTTGCCCTACCTGACGTGGAAATGTACTGAATACATCTGAAAACAACTGCAAAAAAAATTGCAAGTTGTTCTCGGGTGGGACTTGAACCCACGATCTCCAGATCACTAGCCTGGCATCATACCTCTAGACCACCGAGCTTGCGCCTGATGGCCAGGGTTGAATTAGAGTCCAAGTAAGCAGCGGGTACTGCAGTGTTGATAGTAATTGTTATTGTCGTGATGGAATAATAGACAATAACTGGAGTCAGGAGAAACATGTATAGGTGTAATTTTAATAATGTAATGTATTACTGAAAATAAGAATAAGTTAAGATGAAAATTTATAATCACATATAATGACATTCAATTACTGTGATATATTCAAAATTGAACTCTGTTCATACTATCAAATTGTATGTGACAGTTGTGTGACTGCCCATATATGGACATAATAAATGCTTTTGTCACATAAAATTTTATAGTGTGAAACAAGCTTTATGTTCTTTTGCCCTTTTCTGAATTAGCGATGTTTAAACAGACATTCGAAGGCATTCAATTCTAACACTTCTACTCAGTCCGTATGTGCTAATTTTGACAATTACTTTTAATTAATTTTATAATGCTGGCACTCAAGTCAATAATTTCTGCAATTTGATATTAATTGCAGACGTTTTGACCGCGAAAAAGAGATGAAGATTCTTATGGAACGTACTCAAGAGACATTACTGGCTGAAGCTAATCAGCAATTAGCAAACTACAAGCAACTATTGCTCTCCAAAAACACAGAATTACAGCGATTCCGTGCGGAATTAGACTCCATTTTGGAGGTGCTAAAAGAACTCCACAATCAAGGTGTTATATTACCCACAATGCCTTCTAAAACTACCTCATTGTTAAGGTGACAGAATCTAAACTGGAGTGCAGTCAACAAAGTTATTATTATTAAACCAATTATGAAGGTACATGTGTTAAAACAGGAGAGCTGTATTGATTTGAGTAGTTCACTGGCATTTTATTACTTACAAAAACTCAGATTTTAAACTTAATATGTTTATTTCAGTTCAACTGTACAATTTACCAATATATATTATATTTATGTTAAATGTCTAAAGATTAGTTTTTTTTTGTAATATAATAAAAATATTTCCATCTGCAATTATTGAACATGTGGCATAGGGAATTGCAGTAGTTTTAAGTCGAGGAAATATTTTATAGAATGTTTATATCAACTACACTAAAAATATATAATAATACAGTATACAGTACTAAGATGTTCCAGTTTTCACTTAATATGAGCAGTTAGCTTCTTTCCATTAATACTTTTAAAATTAATAACTGTTTTTTGAAAAAATGTATAGTACTATACTGATAATAATTAAAGGAAATATACACTGATATTTAAAAACAAGTCTGGCGCCCTCTATATTTGTCAGAAACACTTCCAGTTTATTGATATACTGTCTGCGCTGCATCAATAAATTTTTAAAAATATAATTCACTATTTTAATTTATGAGCTTTCATTGAAAAATTAGAATTTGAAAATATTCTTCTCTCCAAATATTTTTTTGCGTATATTTGCATATAAATTTATTTTTGCATATATCTTACTGTTTAAAATCTTAAAACCTTAAAATTGCATTGGTATCTTTTGGAAGAGTGGGGGAATCTCCGGATGCTTTTGTTCATTTTAACCCTTGTTTTGTGGATTTTTGTGAACATGCAGCTACTATAAGCGCCTCTTTATGGTGGCTAGGTAGCCATGTACCACGCCCCCTATTCAGCACAATGACATTACTGGTTATTATGGGTTACTCTACTTTTCCCATTACATTTAATGTATAAATTGAATATTTAATGGTTTTCATATTTGTTCACAGACAGTATACATTAATTGATGTAGTTAATATAATTCAATAACAGTATATTAAAAATAATATCTGTAATGCTGTATTTAATATATTTTATAATCATATACAGTACCAGTATATAAGATAGTAATATCTTTATCACTTGTGAGATTTGTTCACAAGCATTGGAAACGTACTGAGCATTCAGTACAATAATATGTCAGGTAGGGCAGACATCAGTCATACTATCTTTATTACTCTGTAGTTGATATATTTTATACTGTAATATAAATTTGTTTTTGTTGTATACAAACAAATAATTTACAATTAATACAAATAATTCAAACAACATGATGATTGTTTGAATAAACTGTTCATAAGAAATATTGTATTCATGTGTTCATAAGAAATATTGTATTCATGTGTTACAGTTTTGTGCCAAACTCTCCAGATGTGTCCTCAATTCAGCAGACAATCCATCATCTTTTCCTTTTGTCCATACAACTTATTTCCACGGTATACTTAAATATGTCTCCTTCAATCTCTGCCCGCATGATCAAGTTATATACCCATGATTTGGGCATGTATGGGTTTTATATGACAAATGTGCCAATATTTGGGCAAAATAACATAAGTGTTATTCTCATGTAAAAATGTAATAGCCACACATACATTCAATTTTGTTAGGTGCATTAGATGCAAAATGAAGCTACGCATTACATTGCAACCAATCACAAAATGGGGGCTCATTATGTTTTTTTTAAGGAATTATTATTTAATTAAATGATTGATTACAGACTTAAAAATTGAAACCAAGGGATTCGTGAATTATGTAGGGTCAGTGGGATGAATAGGTTATATCTTACTGTGCCACCTTCTAATTAAATCAAGATGAAAGGTTTAATAATTATGAGCAACTGATTCTGCCGGCTGTGTATTAACCATAAATTGCTTTGTTATTCATAATTACTGTACATTGATGTCACGCTATGGAGCTAATTACACCATGAATAAATGCATCATGTACTGGCACTCTGCCGATAGTTAAGCTGGTAGTATTATGTATTTTGCATAATAGTCATAAAACATGTGCTAATGGTATTTACATTTTAACATGTTTACTTATTCTGGCTTATGTAATGTTTTCTTATGAGGAACCATTTTGTGTCATCTTGCTAAGCGTTTTGATTAAACGCAAAACTGATTGAGCCCCGTGGACTTATAATTAATGCTGAGTTTTACCAGGATTAAGCCAATAATGCTTAGGATAGGAGGATTCCAACCATGACCTCATAACGGAAAATCATTCATCGTTGTGTAAGCATGACGTCACAACGTATTTTCATGTATCACTTAAAATAGTATGTATCTTAAATCATATTTTATGATATTGGATCCTTGAATCGTGTTACCTATTCCATTTATTTCGAAATGCAATACACATGTAAATGTTCCATTAAGAAAGAATGTCATAATAATTTGACGTACCGTTAAAAACAACCCCCACGTGCACTAACAATATTATAAACATTCGCTCTTGAATACAACTTGCTTTTAAAACAAATCAGGTTAATACAGAGGGCCATTTGCTCGTAACAGTTGCAGCCCGAAATTGTCAACTGATCGCCTCAATGCGTGTGGTATCGGGAGTAATGTTATCTCATTAAGATGCATGTTATCTGGATTTCTAGTCCTTTAATCTAAATTTCTAGTAATTTATGGATAGTGTATGGAATTATTCTTCAAGTCGGTCGATACTTGAGTCGACTTTGAATATATATCAATTATGTAATAACGTACCGTCGTGGCCTGACGTCACTTCTACGATTATTTTAGCGCAATTAGAGTATTGCTTCATTAACTCTTGTGTGTCTTACAGTATCAGTGCTAATACAGGATCATCAACTATCTCATGCAAAGACTATTAATAACTTCTGAGCCATGCGAATCATAACTGTTTTTGAGATGTTAGGCCTATATAATAATTGTTTATTTCCCATGAATCCATCGGTATTACTTCTTGATGAAATACATATTTACCAAGTACGTGTAAATTTAATTTTATATCCATGGCCATTAATTGAACTAACATTGGCCATTAATTGAACTAACATTGCAATGCCTATTCAAGTTTATACCACACTATTAATTAATAACTCGATTTTAATTGGCGTGTGATGCATTCTTAATTTGGCGCATGTGCATAAGGCAGACGAATTATTATTTGATAGCTGCCTGTCAAATTCTGTTATAGACATCTATAATAGTGTGCATCTTCTAAAAGACTAGAGGTCACGTGGATCGGATTTGGACTGTCAAAATGTCCGTTAATTGCAATACATCTATGTTGCAGACGACCGAGTTTGGTATAATACTTTTGTACACACTGCAATGGCAAAGGCAGAGTCCTTGAATATGCCTACGCTTCTCAAATAGAAACAAAAATATAGAAAGAGAAATGTCAATAACTTGAAAATATCATCCGAATGATTTTGAATTTCACCGACGTAATCTCTTCGTAATCCATCGTTAAGGAGACTATACAGTGTGCTAGTTCGACCTGCTTTTACTATAATATTCTCTTGTCTTTCCAATCCTTTTTCTTTTCACATCAAATTATCTTATTGCTACCCAATCGTTTTCCTCGGTTCTCTATGCGTTAGTGCCAATAGGCCTAAAGTCCAGTGTAATAAAATTGATAAACAAAAATTATTAATATTATTATTGTTATTATCATCATCATTGATTTAATATTGTTATGAGTTTGTTATTGCTAATGGCCAACCTGATTGTAGGACCAATTACTATAATAGATACACTCGGCAATTTCGACGTCTTCGACGCAAGCATGACATGTGAACGGTTTGACGTACGCGGACTAAAGCTTTGTCCACATTATCAAATTTTGTGTGACAATATATGGGCATGATGACGTCATATACCCAAATACAGTATTGACATTTATGTATCACATTTATTTTTCAACATAAACTGTCATAGTGTGAACAGAGGCAAACGCAGAATGTGCTAACTCTACCTGACGTACGCTGATTTGAGAGATGTTTACAGTTTCAACAAGCAGACGAACAACCGTGGAGGCAGTCCGTGATGGTCACTATCAGTAGAATTCAATAAAACTTCTAAATTGTAAAAAAAAAAAAGAATAAATTATGCATGTTCATAGTGATGTTTTCGGTCGGCATTAACTTCGATTGCATTAACAAGCACTCAGGTTGCGTTTACAAAATGTACTCATCTTGCGCTTGAACATTAGTTGCATTCTCATTACCATTAACATTAGCAATGTGAGATGAACTTAACTCCACATTCTGCCATGTAATGTTTTATCTCTATTGCAGCTGTTTCCCACTCATTCTCACTCAAACAACGATTTTCGCAAATACTTTAGTTCATCACGGTTAAATTACGATTATTTTTTAAATGTATATAGTGTAATGAGAGCGTGTTCGTTCGTTAACTGAGAGTGACTGCGCCGTTTTCTCTAAAACAGTTGGAAGCCTGACACTAAACCTTTAATCCTAATTATTACTAATAATCATTGAACTCTTTTAGTTTAATCATTGGTATTTCAACTTCAACATTTCATATTAGGCCTATACCACACTCCCTTCATTCACAAGGTAATGTATGGTATGAAAACGCCTTGGTGTGGAATTCACTGCGTGCTAACGCATTTAAACGCAGGCCTATGTTATGTGTCAACACTTGTAAATCTTTGTCTACACTATCAAATTGTAGGTGGCGAATTTGTGTAGTGTAAATGGGCATGATGTCATATTACACACCATATGGGCATATCACATTTATTTGTCACATAAATATTGATAGTGTGAACGGAGCTTAACGTATACGCACGCATGTGTTTGCATCTAAACACACGTCACGACGTCATGGTTTGGAATATGCGTCTAACTTATAAATGCACATCGTGTGAACGTGCTGTGTATGTCAACCATCTTACGACCGTGTCAAAACTCACCAACGTACTAGTCGTGAACATCATAAACGCACGCCGCTGACATGTAACATGAATACAGTACCGTGCTATATGCTTGCCTAAGTATATAACGTGATATGTTCCGGTATATTTTGTATAAAACGCGCGACGGCCACTGGTATTTCATGTAATGGCTTATTGTATTGCTATTGAATTCTATCATCACCACCATTATAGTGATTTTTCTGTTGCTGTTTTGTTATTATTATCAACATCTTCATCATCATCATCATCGTCGTCGTCATTATCATCATATCATAATCATAGTCAACATTATTTATTATTATTATTACTTGGAAGAATTTCATCTAGTCTTTAGTTGAACTAGTATATACTGTAAATGATTCTTCAATTTATAGACTGATTTGAGATGTAGCTTAACTTGTACATTACAGTTATTTGATAATGGTAGCTGTCAGCGACCGAAGCTGTCATGCAAGTTTCAAAACTTTTAGTCTATATATTGAAGAACCATTTACACTATATTATCTTTATAGTATATTATTATTATCATCATAATCATTATCATTATCAATTTATCACTTTCTTCAGCCTGTTGAATACTGTAATCATGTACCTCGCTTTGAAAGAACCACACATGTTAAATAGTTCATACCATGTTAATAACATGAACGTAATACATAACTAAACCCCAATGTGTTGGTGGTGGTACCCATAACGCCTCACGGTGTGTCGACTACCGTCTAGTCTCTAATTTTCAATTTATTCAAAAAACACCTCCAAGAAGGAGAACATCACCATTGTGGCAGTCATTAGATATGGTATACTGTACTCTGTGTAAAAACAAAACCTAAACATTTGAGCTTAATAAAATTGTGTCATCACATCATAGCGACAATATACCTATGTTATCTCACAGCATGAACTAATTATCTCCGGGAATGTTGTGATATTGCTTCGTTTTATATCACTATTTATAATTTAACACGCATTTATTTTGAATTATACGTCCCGTGCCTCGGGGGATAATCGTAATTGCACTATGAATATCATAGAAGTGTTCTTGCCATTAACCATTGATTTTACTCGGCGTTACCATACTTTGCAGAACCAATTAAAGTACCAATTATTTCAGCTATTTTTGTGTGTTTATCAGGGCTTGTGGGTGATTTTTTTAATGCTTTGGATATAGGGTGTTGGAGGAAACCTATGTGTGTGTTTATTTTTGGGATAGCTTGTTGGTCAATGTGCTAGTTTTCCAATACTATGATGCCTGAGTCTAGTTAAGTTACTTGAATATTTTCTAAAGACCAAAAATTAGACTATTATAGAAAAAAAAATTTCTCGGGGGAAAAAATATTCTAATTAATTATGTATCAGCAACCATTGGCCCATAGGCATAGACCTAAATAAATGAAATAAAAGTATACTATCTTTTCACCACTATAATGAAAGGCATTTCGTGGTATATTGAACAGTATAGAACTTTATACACGCTGTGATATCGAATGTTGGAAATACCAAGGTGAGTTTTTGTTTGTTATAGCTGGGGAGACTAAGCTTCAAAATACTATTCCTGCTCGTGATCTCTTACGAAGTTTAATTATAGGCCTATCTATATTCCTCTACTAATTAGATTAAATTTTTAATATTAAATCACACTTTTCTTCATATTATTCGATTAAATATGTCAGTTATCGCTTACACAGTAAATAATAAATGAAATCGAGTCAAACAAGTTTTGTACCAATTCCATTAGTTCACACCCGAGATGATGGTCATAGCGAAGCTGTCTGAACTCATGATGTTCATACCTATGCGATGTTAACTCATCAATAGTTAAATACTATTATATCCATGGACCGTCATGCCACATCAACATGTAAGAATACAAACGAGGCTTAAATAAGTAAGCATCTACTTTACTATTAATTTTGAAATAATTTGAACATCGCAAAATGCTATTTTTGAGTAGTGGATTATTGCAGTTTTACATTACGTTGAACGATTAATAAATTCATGGTGTTATGTGCATAAAGTACCGTATAGTAAAATACTATATTTGTAAAAATATTAAATTATTTGGAGGTTACGATTAGTTTTCTCTAAGTAATAATTTACTTAATTGAAAATTGGACATATTTAAGTTTATTTTGTCAATATTTGATTGTTCTTCATTGGAATAAGTTTTTTTTCGAAGACTTTCATGGGCTATCCTGATCCTGTCACCTTTTAATGTATTGTATACATACTGTAATAATCGCAATGTTTTGAAAAGTTTATGTATATATTTTTATGTGATGGCAAATGAAATTTGATAAAATTCAATAGGCCCGCTACGTAACGATATTCCCACTATAAGGTTAGTAACGGTAACAGTTTTGTATCGTAGATTACATCGTGAGCAAAACAGTATGGATCGGTAGCAACGATGGCATCTCACTGTCGGTTGTCTGTCTTGTGTTTCAGGTGAACAATCCTTACAAATCCTATTATTTAGCACAAGAGATGATATCCATAACTAAATGGTCTAAACTCATCAATAAGTAATTAAATATAGCAATTGAGAACAATGCGTACTAATACTATGGAAATTAATATCATTTCAAGTTTTCATATCGAGTTTCTTGTCAAGTCTTTTACAAGTCTGAGAATGAGAATATTCAATTCAATTACGACGTGATTAATTACTAAATTTAAAACCTTAATTACGTCATCGTGTATATTTCATTTGATCACAGTAATATTAAATCATTTGTCATTTTCAAAGTATAGTTGGATCGTCTTTCTCTTCATTAGATGTCGATTACAAAGAAACAATTTCGTAGATATTAACACCAATGCATTACGTTATTTAAATGATATTTTATTTTTGTATAGGCCTAGGCCAACTTGAGGCGCCTGCTCTTACCATCACTTTGTTTTGTTCGCTGTTACGTGTACTTTGGATTGCTAAACCAGTATAACTGCCGTTGCACACATCACATTATTTACAAAAATACGGATATGATTTGGTTTAATATCTCACATCTAGCCTATAGTCTTCGTGCACTTTCAGTACCATAGTACCTACCGTAAAT